TCCTTCCCTCCTTCCCTCCTTCCCTCCTTCCCTCCTTCCCTCCTTCCCTCCTTCCCTCCTTCCCTCCTTCCCTCCTTCCCTCCTTCCCTCCTTCCCTCCTTCCCTCCTTCCCTCCTTCCCTCCTTCCCTCCTTCCCTCCTTCCCTCCTTCCCTCCTTCCCTCCTTCCCTCCTTCCTTCCCTCCTTCCGCCACTTCCTTCCTCATTACAAGAGAAAACTATCCCAGAAACACCTCTCTGTATTCAGTCTGCCCTTTGCCAGGCAGTGTAACCTTGTGGTGTCTCTCTATCAATGTATTATTTCAAAAGCAATATTAGAATCTCAGTCCTGCAGACTTTGTCAGTATTTTGGAAGTCCTGGACGTTTGCAGTGCTTCAGTGGTGCCTGATCGTGATTTAGCCTTGCCAGTTCCCTCCAGGGGTGGCAGAGCCATCTGCTCCTGTGGGCTTTTACAGAGCAGGAATCCAAGAGCAAATTTTATTTAATGCAATATGTCTGCTGATGAGGATGACTTTCTCAGCTCTCCTTTTATTGCAGTTTGTTACTGGACATGGTGGTAAGTAGAACTCTGATTAAAATAATCCTTCATTTTCTTCCTGTGGCAGATCTGAGCTGGGACACTGCAGAATTCTTTAGTAATTCTCATGTCCTGCTGTTTCTGGTTTGGTTTGTATTTTGTCTGGAGGGTTTTTTTTTTGGTTTGTGGATTTTTTTAAAAATAAGATACAAAGTTGAAGCTCATTTTACTCTTTCAAAGGCATGGAGGGAGAAATAACTGATTTAATCACCTCTTCTCTCTTGTTACCTTCTTTCAGAATATTCAGGGGTGTCTCAACCGACACTTAATATTTACAATGAGGCTGAAAAACATTATTATAGTTAACAGTATTATTATTATGTAGGACATTGTGCAGCATTTCTCCCTAGCTGTTCTTCACACAGCTTCTGCTTCCTTTCCCTCATTTGCTGCCTGTTTTGTGATTCTCAATATTTGGTGGCTCATTTGGTGGCTGTTTTGTGGTACCCTGCTTGCCATGGAGGGCTGATGGTGAAGGCATTTCTCTGATATATTGCAAGTTCCACAGGGGTGATTTGTGGATTTGTCTTCTCCTTAATGTATGGAAGCTTCTTATCAGAGGAATGCTGAAGTATGGAAACACATTAGGAACCATTAGCCTCAGTCTGAGCAGGAGTTTGGGAATGCCATGCAGGTCCACATAAAGAAAAAACATTTTTTGTGGTTCAAAAAGTGCAGAACAGCCCCATTCTTGTCAGACTGAGATCACCTGCGAAATGTACCTGAATTTAGAGCTGCAGCCCAGATTAAGTGAGGGATACAACAAGAGAAAATGCTTTTCAGAGCTCCTACTTTTCCTGTGCCAGCAGAAATTTTTTTTCTCCTGCTGATTTGCTTTTGGAACTAAAATATTCAATGATGACATGAGAGGAACCTGGATAGAGTAATCAGACATGAGCTAATGCTAAAGTATTTCCCAAGCTATGTGTGAGGTTTAAAATCACCACTTGCTCAACTTTCAAGTGTTTTGTGGTCCTTAGTATTTTGTCAATAGTCTTTTTACTTCAGGAAGAGCAACCTTCCCATTTTTGGTAAGTTAATTTTATTTAGTGTAGAGGAAAACATTTTCCAGAGGTAGTCAGGAATTTCTTTGAGTGATTTATTCATTTTTTTACCAACAGATAATGCTGGATTTTTTTGTATTTTTATTTTTCCCCCTTCTCTTCCCCTTCTAATTGAAAATACTATTTGGAAAGTCAACTTCTGTCTAAATGTTTAATTTTTCCATTGAGAGAATCCACCTTTCCTTGGCTGCTTTGCCCAGAAGGCATGTGTTAGTTGTGCTGGGCAAGAACTGCCTTGCTGCAAGGCTCTGGTGAAATGCCGCTTCCCAAGAGAAACAAGTGAAGTCAGTAATATCCTTCCCAGTAGGCAACTGGCAAGCCAGGGGAAATCTAATTTCACTGATCTGAAAAAGATTCTTTTCTGGAAAATCTTGTCCATGAAACTTTCTGATGTGTGCCTTTTTTACTTTGGCTTGACTGGGAATAAATTACTCCCACCTCCTTCGGAAACACAAGGGTTTTGTCAGAGAAAGTTTTCTGTGTGGTTTTATTTTTATTTTTTTTTTTACTCCTTATTTTTTCTTCCACATCCTCGTTCTCCCACTGTCTGTCAAAGTAATCTCTGAGGGTGTTACAGCAGGGTAAGAAAGGTTAGCCAAGATCAATTTTATACTAACTAATCATGTCTAAAATGTGTGCAATGGAGATCTCATCAGAGAATTGGTTTCCTTTTGGGCATTCACAGGGTAATCAATGTATTTTACCTGTCACTTATGTAATTTAAAAAGTTAAGGAGCAGTGAAAAATTTTACATTGAATTTGAAAGTTTATATTAAATCTAACACATGCTGGAAATTTCTGTTATTTCTCCTTTTTTATTTTTATTTTTGCAGCCAGTACAAGGCTTTGACTATGCCAAGCAACACTTGGGCCAGCAGGGAGCAGAGGATGAGGTTTTACCTGTGACTCAGGAGACTGTCATCCTTCCACTTCCAGTCAGAGATGCTCCTGCCTCCCAGGAGAGAGAAACTACCCAGGATGGGAGCACCATCAAAACTGCCAAATCCAACGAAACAAGGAAAAGGTATGGGCTGGCACCTGGTGCCTTTCCACAGAGGAAAGGGTTAATAGGATATGTGCTGCTGGTTGCTGTCAGGGCTGGCACCCAGGCTGTGTGTGTGGCACATGGCTCCTCTCCAGGATGTATCCTTGGCATAACACTGGTCTGTGCTGGATGTTCTGCTGCTGCAAAATATGAGATAAAACCAAGTGGAGCCTTACCGAGGAGGTGAAGAGGCTTTTTATGGGAGTGTTGGTGTTGCACAAGAGATGAGCCCAAATGAAACGTGAGAGCTGTAGCATGAGCACTAGAAATCTCTCAAGGAACCAAAAGACAGGTTCTCAGCCACTGTGAATTGCTGTCACTCCACTGGCAGGCTCTGTCACTCCAGAATTAGAGCCAGTGCCTTCACTTGCACCAGGGGAAACCCTAAACACCCACTAAATTATGGAAGACCTCTAAATCCAAAGCATCTACAGCAGGACAAAACTTCTGAAGTGTAAGAATAGACTAGATAATGTCAGTGTCTAGGGTAAAGTGTCCCAGGTTCTCACTCTTCATAATAAAGTCTCTAGGCTTGTAGGATCATGGATTCAAGATTTCCAGGAAGCTATCTGGCTCCTCCTCTCTGCTGCAGGGTCCAACACTCCCCTAACTCAACTTTATCTACCTTATTTTAAGGTCTTCCACTGGTGGGATGATCACAACCTCCTCCAGCAATCTGTTCTCTCCTGCCTTTCCTGTCAGGAAGTTTTACCTCAGTTTCACCTTCCCTCAGCCATCAACAGAATAGCTGAATATTTCTTGTCGAGGCGAGGGAAGCTGATTATCCCTTTATCCCAGCTGTTTTGCATGCTTTCAGGCCAGTTTTCACCTTACCCTCTCTCCCTGGTATTAAATGAGAGTGGAACTGAGGATAGATATTGAAGGAAAGAGAGGAAAATAAACCTGTTAGGTGAACAACCTGAACAGAGGTAACTGTTGCTGTGTAGCTCTCAGACATTACACGGGCCTGGCTTCTTGAAGGGATTTGATAACATACAAGGAAAGCAGCTGACTACTGCAGAGAAATTCTGGAGAAAACCAAGCCTTCCTAGCTGAGTCACCTCATCTCATCCAGCATTCCCCACTTTGGAATAATGGGAAAGCTTGGAATACTCAGCACAGTGTTGCTGCACACACATGCTGGATGGGGAGGTGTCAGCCAGCATGGTGTGGGGCTGGAGGACTCACACTGCTGCTCTTCTCGGGGGGGTAGACATCCCCACTGGTCATCAGCTGAGGTTTTCCCTGCAGAAAAACAGCCAGAAGGATCCTGAGCTCCTGCCTGGTTTGTCCTACTCCTTTGTCTGTGTAGTGAATCACCTGGAATATGGGAAGAGCTGTCTGCAGGGCACACCAGGAGAGAAGAGCGAGCCAGCTGCAGCTGGATGTAAACTTATTCTGCCATTCAATGCCAGTGAGGTGGTGTTCACACTACAAGCCATTGAAATGTGAGGTTTAGGTCCTACAGTCCCTGTGAACCAAGCAGCACCTGTCCCCTTCAAAGTCTTCCATCCTTTGAGGAAATGGCAAATGGAAGATGACCGTGACACCTGCAGCTGGTGCTGGTGCTGGGCAGGTCAAGTCTTTGCAGGAATTGTTCTTTAAAATGTTTTGAAGCCTCTCCAAAGCCATGTGTAAACACACATAAAAAATGTAAACCAGCCCTGTTAATTAATCCTCTAACCAAAGTGATTAAGCACTTCACTCAGTCTTTTGAGTGAGTGCAAAAATCCCCCACTTAATCCGCACCCTTTTAAACAAATGCTGATAAGCAAACCCAATCCAGGAAAGTTATTCTCATTATAAAATGTGCTGAACCTTGGTGCCCTTCTAAGTAAATAACTAAGAGTTAGTTTTTCCTCCCTTAGGGTGATTACTTGAGTAAGTGAGAACATGCAGAATTTCAGTATTTTTCATTCCCAGGAGCAGTGTCTGGAAATGGAATTTAATGCTTGCTGAAGATGAAGAAATATTTCTTGACCTTTATGTGTTTGCTCTTTCATTCAGGGTACTTTACAGCCTGAAAAGGTCAATTCAAACCAGACAGCCATGAAGTGGCTGGTAACTGATCAGACTATCCTCTCTGCTATCACCACTGAAAGAAACTTCTCAGTTAATAATGTGAGGGCCACTTATAAAGGATGACTATTGGGATTAGTGTCACCACAGAAATCGTTGTGCAAGCTATCCATGCTCTTCTTTTCTGTGTTCGCAAGTTGAGCAGATTTTCTCCAGGTGTTGTTCTGTCCCTGGATGGATTTTTTTTTTACTGGGCTGGGATTATTCATTTAGCAGCGACAGACAGGTTTATAGGGAGGAATCTCGAGAACACTTATTTTCAATAGAATTTCACAAGGAAACCCTCAGGCTGGACTGGGCTGAGTTCTCTGAGAGCCCTGTAGCTGGAAAGAACCTGTTTTAAATTATACATATTTCACCTAGGCTATCTTCAAAAGTGAATCCCCAAGAATTGCTTTTCTCATATTTGTCCCTTGCAGTTCTGCCCACATTAAATGCTTTCTACTTACACCAGGCAGGGCGGCCAGACCTGGAGGTAAATGAATGTTTCAAGCTGATGATACAGTATTGGCAATGATTTACAGGATGGCTTTGACAGTTGTTTTGTTTTAGTACCATTTTCTGGTTATAAAACCATTGTGACAGCAATGGAATTTGATTTTATTCTTTTTCTCTGTAAATGGAAGCCTCTGTGACTAGGCCCATTATTTTTTCCTCTAATGTAACCTCTTCACATCACCCTGTCAGTGCCCATGACAACTCAGTGGTAGATTGCAGAAAGGTTTGTGAGTAACTGCACAGGTCCTGTGGAGTGTTTTCATTCCCTTTGTAGCAAGTTTCACATGTAAAAATAACGTGACTGTGTCTGGATGCAGACTAGCACCAAATATACTGTTTTGTGCTGTGGCCTGCTTTTCCCAACTGGTGCATTAGGATTTGAGTAACTTGTCCACCCCAAAAAAAGCAGAGAAGCTGTGGTGGGAGCTTGGTCTCAGAGCACACTGCCCATTTCTGTCCCTGCTCCTCGCTGGGACTGAAGGCACAGAGATTCTGCCCTGCCCTCCCTCCTCACCCTGGGCAGGGACCACTTGCAGGACAGGGATATGCAATTAAAACCAGCTCATTAAAACAAGCATTTTCTTAGGGGTTTCAGCCAATGAGGGCACTGATTTAACCGGGTTATGTACCAAAAGGAGAATTTTCTTATCACCTTGCATACGTGCAAAGTGAGTGAGTGTATTTTGCATTTTGCATTTGCATTCTGTGGCTGACAACAGTTGACTGTAAAATCAGACTAAATAATAGAGGAATCGGTTTGGCCACACATCCTAAAACAAAGATCTGCTTTATTTTGTCTGGGTTAATGACACTGAATTGCCAATGGGACTTTTTGTCCTCGGTGGTGGCACTTTTATCACTGTGGGGCTCATGCATGAGGAGCACTTGCATTCCAAGCCCTCGAGATGCCCACCAGCCCTGAACTAATTGTCCAAGTCATGTTCACCTCCCTCCCATCCTTTGCTGCGTTGCTGTTTCCATTCTGCCTCCTTTTGGTACCAAATCGCTGTTGAAAACTCAGCCGTGCAAGCCGCGTGAACGAAATAACCTTGAAAGGAGCTTTAGGAGGAAGAACTCACGTCCTGCCTTGTTGCTATGGTTACTTGCAGCCGGTCCCCGAGCCAGAACGGCTCCATCCTCAGCAATGGGTCGGGAAAGCCCAGCTCTGGCCGGAGCTCGCTGCAGAAAGTGATGGCACCGCAGAAAGCGGCGAAAGACGAGGGGAGGAAGAGGAACGGTGAGAAGCGTTCGCTGTGGTCGCTCCTGCTGCCCTGCCCACACCAGGGGAACCATCTGAAACCAATTTCTCATACCAGCAACCCCTGGGTGTTCTGTGTGTGGCTCATTTGCTGGCTTTTCTCCTTCCCCTTTACTGCTTTCACTGTTTCTCCACATCCCATCAAACACCGTGGTGTTTGTCCAGTGTGTGGGACTTCCCAAGTTTTCTTGCTTTTTTGTTTTTCCCCCTCTTTTTGTTTTTTCCTGGAATACCAGTAAACTAATGAAGATGTGGTGCTTCTTAGTAGAGTTTACAGCTTTTTTTGTTGTGTGGATCCCTAGGATATTAATTTCTTCCTCTGCTGCTGCTAAGCTGGCCCAGATCTGATGAAAATGAATTAATTAGATAAAAATTAATTTGAGAAAGTGTGAAACAGCCAGTGCTTTGTCTTTCCTCACACCCTTGGCACACCTGTTTGTCATTAACACTTACTGTCAGCTTTTCCTGATACACTGGGATGTCATGCTGGATGTTTCTTACAAGACCTTGGTTGATGGGGGTGACCTTGTGACTCGAGATGGATCAGGAACATCTGATGAGAGAAGTATCCAATCCTCTTTTGTCCTCGCTTTTCTCCTCTCTGCTTTTTTTTCCTGAGTTACAGCTTTGTTCCCATAGCTTTGTTTTCCTTATGAATAGAAAACTGGCTAACAGGTTCTAGGTTTCAAAGGGGTTAATTATTTTTTCACTGTATGAAATGTAGCTCATTTTACAAGACATTTGCATTTTCCACGGTTAAAAGCTGTAATTTATGATGGCTTTTTTCTTTTTTTTTTTCTTTTTCTCCACCCAGGAAATCCAATATTCAAATCAGTTCAAAATGCTGTTTACATGGGTAGACAAAATAATTTAATGAAGGTTTTTTTTTTGCTTTGTTAGGTTTTACATCTTCATAGAAAATTGGTAATAACTCAGTTTTGTTTGTTTTTTTAAAAGGTAACACCTAACACCCTAAACAATAACACCTAAAAAATAACACCTAACATCCTTCTGATCTGGGCTGTAGTGCATTTCTAGAACATACACAAGCTACTTAAATAAGTAAGCACGAATGTAGTAGAAGGAAATAGTGACCCTTTAATTTAAATCTTAATTTCATTAAAATTTAGGAGGAACCTGTGCATGACACACCTCATCTGCAGAGCCCTCCTGGTAGAGCTTTCAGTTCTGGAGGAACTCTCTTCACTTGACTGCCATGCCACTAAAAAGGGTCACCTGGTCCTCTGGCAGAGATATGAAAGGGAATGAATGCCTTGTTCCCTGGTAAAGAGATGGGAAACTTTTAGCTGTAGGCATGTCTTTTAATGTATGTTTAGGAGAGTTTCCTCAAACAACCCTTTCAGAACAGCTTCTGAGAAGGAGGATGTGGTCATGGCAGATGAAATGACCTCCCCTTGTCAGAATTAATGGAGTTCAGAGCTGTGTGATCACGAATGTCTATTGAAATTGAAATTAAAAACCCAAACCTCAAGGCACCCATGACTTCTCATCCCAGAGCCTGTTCCCCCGTGCTGTGATTACGAGCACCGCTGTCACCTTTGACAGCTTGTGCTTTCTGCAGGGTTTTACCTTTACCCAGTGAGTTTAGCATCCACAGAAGCTGGTGCCTGCTTTTCCTTCCACTTTCAGAAGGAAGCTGCTTTTCTCCCCGTTGTTTGCCCGAGCCTGCTCCAGCTCCCAGCCTGGCCGCTGGCTCTGGCGCTCACGTCGGCAAAAGCAGCAGCAGATTTTCTTCTCTGAGAATCTTCAGCAGCATCTTCAAACTGGAATGAATCCCTCGATGGTCACATGCTGGATTTGGGGACTCCAAGTCAGAATGGCTCATTAGTTGCCATAGTTACAGACCAATTTTAGATTCTATTTCTTGCTGACATTTAGTTACAGGGAAGAGTGACAGCACTGGATGTTACCTCAGTACGTAAATTCTGTATGGCTTGTGTCAAAATTGACTGCACATGGAGTGTGTCAGGGCTGTGAGTGAACAATGTGAAAGCAGCACAGACTGACCAGCTTGGCTTCAGGAGTGATGCTTTGGAGGATCAGGAGCACTCTTCAGCTGAACATTATTTCTACAGAAAACACAAAATATCTACTTGAATAAAACAGTGATAGGATTTTGTAAGAAAACAGCATGTTTTTTTCTTGAGGAACACTTATATTAATAGAAATTTTTCTTTCTAAAGTTGATGAGTTCTACATTCATTTAATTCAGACACCTAAAAAAATGAAAATATTTTTAAAAAAGTGTCCAGTTATGTGTGTTAGAGGATTGTAATATGGATGAATCAGCCAACAGAAGTACTGGAGGTTTCTGAGATGGGTTTGTAAGAGAATGTGGAAGAGAAGAACAGCATATTAGCAGTTCTGCCCATGATTTATCAGGCCCAGCATCATCCAGGGAGGAGCAAATGACTGAACCCACTCAGACCTGGATACCTAAACCAGCCCACAGTGCAAGCTTTCCTTTCAGCAGCTCCTCACTCAGTGAAGCCAATGAAATTCATGTAGGTTTGTTTTCAACTTTTAGGTGCTTGAACTTGCAACCTTCCCATTAATGTCTTTGGGAGAGTGTGATTGGTTGTTTCTTTTTCTAGAGAAACCCAAAGTTTTGATTTGCTATCAATTCCTAATGAAGCACATGACTCCCCAGCTTTTGGACTAAAGTTGTGCAGTTGAGCTCAGGTTTATACTTAAACCTCATCCCCACAGGTGGAGATGTACAAGCAGCACTTCCAAAAAGTCAAACTTTGTGTGAGAAACCTTCCCCAGCTGGACCAATTTCTCATTTTCCAATCATTTGGACATTGTCTTTGAAAACAGATGTAACTTTTCAGAAGTCATTCAGTCAAGAGCCTCACTCCTTTTTAAAATACCAGTCTCTAAGGCTATAATTTCCATTGTCCAGGCAAGAGTTTTCTACAGGAGCAAAGAAGCAGGGAAAAAAACTTTTATTATTGGTTTAGCTAAAATCAAAGGGATTTTTGGGTGTAACTCTGCCAAGCTATGATGCATTGCCTCCTTTACTCTACAGAAGCGTGGGCCACTAGTTTTCACTCTGTCTGATGTGGCAGCTCAGCATCAAAGCCTGTTTTTTTTTAATTTCTGAGCAGCTGTCTACGGTGACTCAAAAGAAAGTGAAATATGGCAACAGCAATGCTGTCTAGTGGCAGTGATGTGGCAGCTTGGACAGAGAGTTAGCTGGGGGAGCTGGTGGATCCCACAAACATCCAGCACCCTTTTTCTGCCTTTTTTTTGTGCTGGCTGAAGTATAAGTCAGAATGGAAAGAGTTGCTTCCAGAGGGTCATGGCCAACTGGGACAGATCTCTGGAGGTAAGGTCCAGTCAGAAAGGAGCCCTAGCAACTGCACTGGAGCACCTGTGCAGATTTGGAGAGAGATGATTCCCCTTCATGATGCCTTTGGAAGGCTAAGAAATCAGAGTGCTGGGAAGAATTTGTGGTGTAGAGGAAGGAGCCTACTCTTTTCATCATCCATTCCCTCATCCTGAAGCAGTATTTTCATTTGCCCCCAAAAGGGAGTTAATTAGGGATTTCATCTGGTTCTTCATCTCCTCACCACAAACTCCTAGGCTTTTTGGAGTAATTTACTACATCTAACCACAGGGGAGTAAAAATCCCCAAGAATAAATAAAATCCACCTGTTTAGCTGTAATCCTGTGCATTTGCACCAGTTGCTCTTCAACCTCCCAGAAGCTTTACACATTGATTCCCTTTCCTCCCAGGATTTCAGCTTGTGTGACACAGACTCATTCTTCCCCTTACTGTTTCCATTTCTTCCATTGCCCTTTCTTTTTGCTGTTTATTTGCTTTAAATAGTGAGAGCACTGTGACCCTGCTAACATCCTGCTGGTGACTGCAAACCCTTTTATTTCTTCAGACTTACTCAATATTTCCTTTTTTTTTTTTTTTTCTGACCCATTTTGGTTGCTGTTCCCATGGGAAGAAAATACTGCACACTGCAGTGCTAAGGTGCCCATTGCAGCAGATTTCTGAGGGATCTGGGATCTCCAAGTGGTCACACAATTAAATATTTCTTCATTTGTGTTTGCCTTCCCCTCTGGATGACTTTTGCTGTGCCACTGATTGAGTCTGACAGGAGTTTTCATCCATGCAGTGGTGTAAAGAGCATGTAGATGTTCATGCCATCAGACCCAGTGGCAGTCTGGATGGCTGAGATTTTTCACTAAAACGTCAGCACTGAAGAAGACAAATGTACAGTTTTATTGTGCAAACAGAGGACTATTTCTGCAAAGGTTTTTAAAGCTCCTGGAGCACCATTTCCTTAAAGAAGCTTGTTGTAACCTCTCATGTCTTCCCTGTATTTTGTGTGCTCTTCGTCCTTGTCAGTTAAATAATTTTAATTAGTGAATGTACCAACTTATTGCAGTAGTGTCAGCCAAGAAAAGGGGCTGGGGGATTCACTGGAAACATTATGAAATATGTGGTCTCTTTTTAAAAGACTTTGATGTTTAGAAAGATGAGGCAGATGTGGTTGGAGAAGAAGACACAACCACAGAGAGAGATCCTTGCAGGAAACTCTCACAGAAAGGGAACAAAACAAGCAGCTAAGGGACAAGTCCTCACCCTGTGTGCAGTTTCATTGGGAACTTGCAAATACCACTTTGGAGATCTCAAATGACCTGCTCAGGTGGCTCCTGCTTCAGGATCCCAGGCAAACCCAGGACTGCAGCACCTCAGGCACGTCACCAAGCATTTAGCAGAATTTACACCCAAGGAAATACTGTCCAGGAGGAATCATGAGCTGCTCCCATTAGTTTAAACTGTCTGCTTCCAAAAATACAGTATTTGTGCTGTTTGTTTGCAATTAGAATTGCACTGCCTCAGAGCTGGGTGTAATTGTGAAAGGGTTTTTGTGTTTTCTGTTCCACTGCAGTATCTCACAGAGAGGTACTTCTGTCCTGGAAAGGTTCAGACACTAATGTTGGGAAACTTGTATTTTACTTATAGGCCTATAAACTCCTTCAGAAACTGATGGGGGTTTTTTATTGCTCAGAGCTCATGTTTGTTATCTTTCTGGACATAGTCATCTGACCAATGGAATGACTTGGAAGACATAGAAAAAAGACCTTTTTTTTTTCTTTATATAGAGATTTTCTCTAAAATGGAAATTAGCTCTCCATTATTAAATCAGGCTGAGGAGTCAGGATTTCTGTTTGAAATACTGGTATCTGGGCTTTTTCCTAAGGAGACATTTTAGATGAGTGACATTGCTTGCCCTTTGTCAAACTGCAGGTATATTCTGTAGGTATGGTTACAATGTTTGCCTGCCCTTCAAGCAAAATAAATCTTTAAAAATACTTCATTGAGTGATGTAAGAAAAGGCAGAGCATGGCCACTTGCTTGCAAGTATTTCCCAACTTTTGGCCTTATGTGTTTTTCTCTAGTGATGTCATTCTTTTTCTGAAGGCTTCCAAAATCTTTCAAACTGTTGCTTCTGAGCAGGACAGCCAAAATCTTTGTTTCAGGTGTTTGGCTGGAAGGTTACCTGATTCACAGTCAATTTAAATGTCCTTAATTTTATTTATTAATTTTAGGTATAAGTATTTCAGTCCTTTTTTTCTTCATTCCAACATATTTTGATGAGGGAGAGGGGAGGAAAGACAAAGTAAAAGGAAAGAGAGAGGAGACAAGGAATCTTCCATGGCACTAATTGAAATCTTTGGCTGACAAAAGTATCACTTTTTTTATTTTATTTGAAACTCTAAATTATTAACTAGATAAAAACAATACTTCACCTGTCTAATTGTCTTTTAACCATTGAGATCTGCAGTCCCACAGCAATTTCCATGGGACCAGCTGGTCACGAGTGGGCAGCACCACCTGCTGGCATTGCAGGCTGGAATAACGCAGAGCTGCATGGAAATGGGAGGACAGCATCCCTGGGGCAGATCTTGGGTGGAGACAAAGCTTCAGGGATGCTCCTGCTCCTCAGGAACCCCACTGATCTTCACTGCACCTGGCACTCGACCCGAATAAATGACTGCTCTGGATAGATCTTGGTGTGCTGCAGTCACAGAGAGATTAGGAGGAGAAATTTGATCTCAGTGGTGTGAGGTATCTAGCAGGAGGTATTTCAGAGATAGGAAATTGCTGTTAAGTGATAAAGTTGGGTTTTGCCCCTTTCTGCAGCTCAGGTTCTGAGTCTCACTCTGCACTCACGCAGTGCAGGCAGGAGTAAGCACCTCCACAGGAGTGCTGGAATGCATCTGTTGGAAAACAGAAATGTAAAACATCACTTTTAAACCATGTTGCTAACTGTAATAAGCAAGGGTGATTATTGTGAGTGGCTATAAAGAATGTGTGGGCAGTTTCCTGAAGTTTCCCATGCTGGCCAGTTGCTCACCCCGCTGAGATGCTGGGATGGGAGGACTGGCCCAGGGCAGGGATACACAGCAGAAACAAACACTCCAGGACTTATCCAGTGTTTCTCTGAGCTTCCTTTGGCTTGTTTTTCAAAATTCAGGGGTTGTTGTGCTTCATAAATGGTTGCTGTAAATTCTCTTGGGAGGAGATGGACAGGAGCAAATGATGAAATTCCCTTGCTTGCTAGGGTTCACTGCCAATGCAGATTATAGCAGTGTGCCAGTGGCTGCAGATCACAACCTCTGCTCATCACCTACCAGTAAAAAACAGGCAGTGGGAAAATTTTAGATTATAAATGAACAAATGCTAAGGTAAGGTGGAATAAAATTCCAATTTCTAGTCCCTTTTGGCTGTCATTTCCATGCCAGTAGTGCTGCAGTAGGTGCAGGAGTTGTGCTCACCTTTGAGAGGGCTGATACTGAAGGTGCTCTGTGGTGCTAGTGCTCCCCATCAGAATTAGCTGTCATCTGTGGTTTCTGATTCTTTTCACCCTTATTTTTTCTTCCTTTTAATTAATTAACACACATTTGAAGTGTTTGAGCATGGCCAGTTGGGACAGAGGCATTCAAGACCCACTAAAGCCTCTGTGGTGTTTGGGCAGTTCTGTGGAGCTGCAGGGACAATATTTAATGACAAACTGGTTTAACCCATCTATTGCTCAAAAGCTCAAGTGGTGCTGACTCCAGTCCCACTGAGCACAAACAGAGATAATGAACTAACTCAGTAGGTTCATGCTTTATGTTACTGCTGTCAAATACTGCCAAATATTTTCTTACCAAAATCATTGGCTGTCTAAACTGCTGAGTTTATACAAGTCCATTGTAATTTGTGCTGTGATTAAATATTAAACCAGAGTGTATTTTCAGAGGAAATAAATTTAGAGCAGGCCACTTTGTTCTTTAGCAGAGGATCTCTGCTCCTGTCAGTTAGGAGATGGAGCAAGCATTCTTCCCTCTAATAGCATAATTAGTCAAAAGTGTTTGCAAGGATCTCTTTGTAGAATTTCTGCTCACGCTTTAGTGTCATTCTTTCATTTCAAAATGTGGGTAAGAGTTTTCAGACTCAACAGCTGACAAAGTGATGCAGGTTTGCAAAGAAAATTTGGAGGAGGAGGGGCCCAATTGCATGGGGAAGAATTATCCATTTATATAGAAATCTCAAACTAAAGATGCTTTGCCATGCCATTTAATTTTAAAGATTTAGAGAAGCCTTTTCTTAATTTCTTAAGAAATTTTAACAGTCTAACTTCACAGAGACCTGAAGTCTGCTTGCAAAGCAAAAAATTAAGATTAGATACCATCATTTTCTTAAGCATTTTTAACACACAGCAGAAAAAGCTTTTATTTTAATAAATGACATTTTTAGCATTAATAAGTTTTGAAAAAGAAACCTACTTATTTTAGCAAAATTGCAGCATTAGATGGAAAGAAAGCTGCACTCTTGGGTTTGATCAGGTGTAGCTGCTGATGCCTTGGCACGTGGGCACTTGTGTGTGTGTGTTTCCATGTGAATCCTAGGAAATCATCGACTTTTAACTTTCACTGTCATTTTCCTACAACTTCCCATGTCATTCTTCTCCTTTTTTCCATCTTATTAGCACAGATTGGAAATCAACCTTCTCTGGGGAAGCCACAGGTAATCCTGTGAATACATAATGTTTCCTGTGATCTAATGGGATGTTTTTCCCCGTGTGAAGGTTTCCCAGGCCTGCACCTCGAGTGCACCGAGCACATCATTAATCCAAATCGTGTGCTTGCTGAATTTTCCCCGAGCATGCAGCAGAAATGTCTGTGTCTTTGTGCTGAGTGAGTTTGATGTGCTCTAGTGGCCGTGAGTGATGAAGAGGAAGGAGGGATTCTCTTTGATAACATGGCCAAGTCTGCCATCGACCCCTTCGACACCTCCTCGGGCTCGGTGCAGCTCATCGCCATCAAACCCGTGGCTCTCCCTGCTGTCCACGCTGCTTCAGAGAGGAGCCAGGAGTCTGCCATCATCAATGGAGAGGTGAGGACTGCCTGACAAGTGTCTCCAGGTGTTTCCTTGGCTACAGCCACAAGTGGAACCATCTTAAGCCTGTTAGAGTGGAGGGCTGCCAGGAGCTTCTCACCTTTATGTTGTATAAAGTTCCATTAGCACTGTGGGCTCAGAGGTCTGAGAGTTTAAGATCTGCCCTTTCACAAGGCACCTGTGAATGCCTGCAGCCTTGGAAGAGGTGACTTTCTGTATTCCTACTCTCTCAGTGTCCCTCTCTCCTATTTATAAAAATGAGACATGAAGGCAGAAAGCAGAAGAATTCCTACCTGAATTCTGTGGCTGGGTATGAAAATATGTATAGATCACCTGAGTGCCAAACTGATCTTCCTATACTGAGCAATAAAATCTCGATCAGAGTGAGAAGGGGGACAGTGGGACCATGGCCTTGCTCTGCACTGCAGCCTGTGCACAGAGGGTGCAGCTGTTTCAAAGGAAAAAAAGTGGGATGGCAAAATATCTGCTCCAGATGCTGGCCAATACTTTAACTGCAATACTTATACTCATGTTTGATGTAGATTTAATCAAGACCAGTCCTTTTACAAAGGGCTGAGGCTTTTATGAAGCTGTTGAACATGATGGGAACAAGCCACAGAAATTCCTTGTTTACAAACTCACACTGCAACAGTCATTTAAACAGTTAAACACAGTTTAAGGCAGCAGGCAGGGCTGCTGCCAGGGACACTGTAAAAGACAGTGTCATCAGAGGTCCCATGTGGGCCTGGATTATTGAAGCCTGTTGTGCTCCATTTCATACTTGTATTTTAAGTCCTGATGTGTCATGTAGCTTTCCAACTCGGAGAAAGGTTTATTTAGCTCTCAGCATCTCCTTTCTGTAAGGCAGCAGGATGACACTGCTGGTGCTGTGTGCACCCTTACACACACACTTCCCAGAGTTCCACAAGACTGAGAATTTGACTCTGGAAGCACAAAGCTCAAGTAAATTCCTGATTTCCAAGGAAAACTTGCAGTTTGAAGCAGAAGGGAAGTTTTCTCAACACTTAGGAGAAACCATGGCACTAAGCTGTACCAGGAGAGACCAAACACCCCTTTAAGTTTCCTCTCTGACAGGAGCCCATAAGAGGTCTGCAAGAAAGTGTATAAACAAAAGAAACATTTGATGACATTTCACTGGAATTCTTCCCCAGCCACCAGTGGTGACTTATTGAAGGTTTTGTGTAGTCAGGGGCAGTGTCTGTGTAGCCCAGCAGAGTTCTCACGGGTGAGCCGAAGCACGCGCGGCGTTGGGTCGCGGCAGTTGGCTGACACCACCCGTGTTTTTCCACAGTGGGTGTCTCTGAGTCACTGTTGTAATGGTACACAGTTTTTTTAAGGCTAAAATTATTTAACCATCTGCCAAGCCATAAAAATGCAGCGACTCTGTTCACTTGCAGTTCCTCGCCGCTTGCAGATGGCGCGGTGTGGTACGGAGGGATGACACACGCGGCGCATCAAACACGCGCTGACAAGATCCTTTGGAGGTAGCCAGCCCACCAGCAGCCCTGAAACATCTTCTTGTCTTTTAGGTGAACAAGGCTTTGAAGCAGAAGTCTGATATAGAGCACTACCGCAACAAGCTGCGCCTGAAAGCCAAGAGGAAAGGCTACTATGATTTCCCACAGGTTGATAATAGCAAGGCGCTGACAGACAGAAAAAGGATGTATGAGAAAAACCAGAAAGAGCTTGACCACATTTTGGATCCAGATGCAGATGTCTCATCTCCATTTGCTGAGCCTAAGAACAGGTGAGACTTTCTGTTTGCAGTTCTTCGTCTGGTAGGAGAGTTGATGTTTTGGGAGTCAGAGGGGACATTTTAATGAGCCAGGTGGTTGTTGTATGGTCACTGATCCCTTCTGCTTTGTGAAGAAAATTCATACAGCCCATGGAAAGCATGTCCTCTGCTAAAGCTGCAGGGTGGTTAAAAACAAACAAATAGAAAGAAAAAAATATAAGGGGAGGGACAAGTTCTTGTGAGTCATTCTCAAAGGTAAACAGAAAGTGGTAGTAATGTTTTTGGTGATACTCAGAGCAGACTTTAGGCAGGAAGTTAGCACCTGAAGTGGATCTTCTCCAAAATACAGTGGTGTTACTATTTTATCATTGTTTTAATCTGAATGTAACTATTGCAGTGGGCATGAGATAGCAGAGCCAGTGCTTTGGCCATGTAAGTCCTGCAGGTGGTATCTGCAAGGGGGGGTGTGCCTGTTCCTGGTGATCTTCCTGTGCCTTTAACAGAGAAATTCATCATTTGCTCACCTGTCACGTGAAGCTGGCATGTTGTATAACAGTACCAATGTTTGATTAACACTTCACTGTCTCCTGAGGATGGCATTCAAAACCCCATTTTAGAAAGGAGGGGGGAGTGCAGGTGCTGACTGTGCCTGAGCCGCTGCCGTGGGCGGGTGCTGTGTTGCTGGTGCTCTCTGAAACACAAACTGGCACATTGGAAAGAGGAGATCACACCAGTCCTGCCCCAGGAATGGTACAGTGTGCAGATTCCTCTTCCTTGGAACTTCTGGAGGTGTGAAGGAGGATAAGAGAGTGTGTTTGGCATTACACCTTGCACAGGAGGGCTCTGGTTCTTACTGTAATCAGGGACTAACATCAGCTGATCCATGAGAGAAGAAGGGATGCTGAAGCACCTTTCCTCTGGAAATGGCCCTCATGCCTGGAGATGCAATCTTGCATCCCATCTCCTGGAAAGCTGAGGCTGAAGTTTTCCTGTGAGAGTAAACTGATTGCAAAGTGCTGCTGGTGACACAGGCATTGCACACAGCGAGACTGCAGCAGTTACTCTCGGGGCACAGGGATGAAAAAGACTGTAATGGGAATCACAAAAGCACTCTTGGCTTGGGAAAGCTGAGATCAGATGTATTTCTGTAGGTCTAGAGCTCAGTGGCTGAGGGATGCTGCCCTGCAAGTGCTGTTTGCCAGGGCTGCACTGAAGAGATTCTGACTCAGCCATGTGTTATGTTCTTGCTGGATTTCCTGGTGCAGTTTTCCAATTTAATGTGCACTGAGAAGGTAAGAGATGGAGCCTGTCCTGACATGGGAGCCCTGCTCTGCACACTCTGTCCAGGAGGTACAGACAGAGCACAGGGAATGCATTTAGCCCAGGGAGCTGGAAAGTTCCCTCAGTTTTGCCTTGGTGTTGCTGTGACTGATTGAGCCATTAATTTGGAGGCTCATTGTGTGTCACATGGCTCACAGGAGGTGTTTATAACATTGAACTGAAGCTTTAACAGAACCACACTTTGTGCTTTCTGTTAAATACACTGCTGTGTGTTTGCTCACGTGCCAGTGTGTGGGAAGACCCCATACATTTTTTCCAGCATGTTTCCCAGTGTGTTGTGTAAATCTGTCACAAAGTCTGTTTGAGACAGTGATCCCTGGCATGACAGAAACTGCTGGGAAGAAGGTAAACTCCTGTGGAGAAGGGATTCCAATGGGTAACTGCACCATAACAGGCTGGCTGCTGAACTTGTTAAATATATAAATATAAACTTATTAAATATATAATGTTAAATATATCACCTGCATCCCTGCAGAAGGAGAGAGAACTGCTTCTGATGCACTTTCTGTGAAGACACAGAACACGGAATGAACTTTGCAGATGCTGCAGATGTTTACAAACAAACCAGTTCTGAATTCTGTGCTAAAATTTCCATGCTCAGACCTGGAACTGAATTTGATGTCCTGCAGCACACATGACAATTATTGTCCTTGTTTTCCTAACAAAAATAAGATGGCTAAAATGTTAACACTGCTGGAGGAAAACCTTGAAAAATACTGCAAGGTAAAGTGGGGTTTGGTTATTGATAAACAAATCAATAAAATTGCATTTCTGTAATGAAATAAAATTGCTTTCAAAGAAATCTGGGTAAGCATATAATTGAAAAAAAACCCAAACTTCTGTGTTTTTCTGTTTTGAATCATTGTTACAAAAACTAAAACTTGAAAAATTGCAATTTTTTAAATGATATAATGAAAAACTAAGTCAAAGATTTCAAAGTTTCTAGGAAAAAGGTCCATTCTACTCTTTTCTGTTCTGCATCTGTTCCTCTAACTTCATTCACATTGTTACAGCACTTCGAAAACATATCAGGAAATAGGGATGCAGTTGATTACTCAAGGTTACCTTTATATTTCAGATTAATTTTAAATTGTATTTAAAAGTGATTTACAAACATTGCTGCCAAATGATTTGATTTTTTTCCAGAACAAAGAGCTTTGTGCACTAGGTACCTTTCAGTCTTCAGCACCATAATCCTCATATTTTAAAACATTCCAGATGTGTTCCCAGAAGGCCTTTCCTAACCCATTTGGATGCCAGTTGTTCCTGCTCATACCTCCTTTCTCATTAGTAAAACTCTCTTAAATGAGGCAATTGGCAATCTCTAGGTAATTTTTAAGAGCCTACTGATGATATGCACTATTCTTGGATTTTCTTTAATAGTTTGTAATCAGGTCAAGAATCTTCATGTTTTACAGAGCTGTGTATTTGAATCCCTTAGAAAATATACCACAATTGCCTCAACTAAGTGGACCTATTGTAAAACATATGAAATTTTAGAGACCTTTGATGTAAGAAGATGAAGACTGTCAGGTCTGATAACCCTGTTTTCTGGTAATATCACAGTATAATCAGAGAAAGACTACATGGGAAGAAAGAGTTTATTCAGTATTATTTTTGTAGGGGAAACTTATTCCAAAAGCTCCGCTTGTCTTCTGCTTTGGCAGTGCATGTGGGACTTTCAAACACGAGCATGGTGATTTGTGATCAAAGGTCACACAGAAGTTTTTGAAAGTTGCCTTAAAACAAAGTACATGCCTGAGTAATTTATTTAATCAGAAGCATGAAATTGATTTTTTTTTTCCCCTTACCTTTTATCCTGTCTGATCATGTAAATGTCCTACTTTCTGGATTTCTGCAAACCAGTTTCTGCTGCTCTAATCTGTCAAGGCAAAAAGTGCTGTTAACAAGATCTGGAATAACTGAAGAATTATTTATCAGTGAATTAATTTGGACTGTCTTGTCTGTTCATTTTGTTGATGGTTCTTGAGTTCCAAGTCATGAAGTGACTTGGAACTGTGACTTCAGACATAATAGTGCAACTTGTCTTACTTCACTGTGAGCACTGGCAGGTCCCCTGTGCAAAATAAGCAGCACAGAGACACGTTAGATGACCTGATCTAATTTGAATATTCTGAATGGAGTAATTGCACAAGGCAGAAAAAAAAAAAATAGCTCGGCTAGGCAAAGATAACTTTGTATCAGGCTCTAGCAGTGTAATTACTGTGTTAATAAATGAAGCTGGCATGCCATTATTTCATCTGTTACTGATCTACTTAAGGACCGGTGCTTCTCTGGAGTGTGCACCCAAATGAGTAATGGCCAGATACAGTATGAGAACAACTCATAAACTCTGCTGGTATAGAATTGACCTTCTTAAGATGGAGCATAAAATTCCTGTACCCCCTTTTTGCAAACCCTCCTGCAGACATGTACATGCTGTGCATTCACAGAGGGATGCTGCATTTGTGTTTTTATAATCAGCAACAGGGGAAGAAATGGTTTTGCAGGGGAGATGATCTGGTATTTTGGATATTCAGTTTTATTCTGACTTTCTATGGCCTTTGCTGCCCCTTGGTTTGGAGCAGGCAGCAGTGGAAGCTCAATGCCCAGGGATGAGCAGCACTTTGTCCCAGTGGAGCAGCTGAATCTCAGGAAGCACAGCTCTCTGAGAAAGCTGTGGCCAGTTACCAAACTGCCTATTTAAAACCAGCATCTTGCAAGCAGTGTCCTCCCACTACTGTTTCCTCCTCTTCTCTTTGCTGGGGGTTTGTTTCAGTGGAGTGTTTTTCTGCTTCTCTCTCATTGCTCAGGATCAGCAACCAAAATCTCCACTCCCCATCTGTGTGTGTGGGAGATCCTGTTATATTTTTATTTATTTTTATTTTTATTTTATTTTTATTTTTTATTTATTTTTTATTTATATTTTTAGATTTTATTTTTAGATTTTATTTTTTATTTTTATTTTTTATTTTTATTTTTTATTTTTATTTTTAGATTTTATTTATTTTTCATTTATTTTTATTTTCTATTTTTATTTTTATTTCTATTTCTATTTTTATTTCTATTTTTATTTTTATTTTTATATTTTCTGTCTCTTTTTCTCTTTCTCTTTCTCTTTCTCTTTCTCTTTCTCTTTCTCTTTCTTTCTCTTTCTCTTTCTCTTTCTCTCTCTTTCTCTTTCTCTTTCTCTTTCTCTTTTTTCTTTTCTTTTTATTTTTCATTTATTTTTATTTTTCATTTATTTTTCATTTATTTTTCATTTATTCTTATTTTTATTTTTATTTATTTTTTATTTTTATTTATTATTTATTATTTTTATTTTATTTTAATTTTTATTTTATTTTTATTTTTTATTTTTATTTTATTTTATTTTTTATTTTTATTTTATTTCTCATTTTTATTTTATTTCTCATTTTTATTTTTATAAATTTGAATCATATCAACTGAAGTTAAAAGGGTCCTGATACTTTCTTGGGACATATTTCATCTGATAAGTTGCCACCTACAATGTCTGTGTCTTTTATGTAACTTTTATTTTCCTTAAACCATAAAAAACAATGAATCATCTCTTAATAAGGTTACTGTTTCCTAGCACTTGATATCTATAGGAAGATTATCCTGCAACAAAGTGGCATTTTTATGAACATCGTAATTTTAGAATAAAGGTGAGTATTGACAACTACTGCCTGTCATTAATTGCTTTTTTCATTTTACCGTTTTTCTCATTTCATGTTTTCTAGGCAGCCACTGAAGAGCTCAGTTTACAGGAGCAGGCAGTCCCTGAACAGTCCCAGCCCAGGGGAGACTGAGATGGATCTTCTGGTGACCCGAGAAAGGCCCAGACGTGGCATTCGGAACAGTGGATATGATGTAAGGTTATTGGGTTTGGGCAGTGAAATCTGCTCAGCAAGGTCTTAACTTGCCCCTAAACCCAGGAACTATTGATAAACCACGAGACAGATTGCCTTGAGATGTTCAGTGTTACAGGGGTTTATGTGCACCCAGCATCCTGAAAAAAGCTCAGACTCTTTCATGTATCACTCTACATCATTTTACAGTCTGAAAGGCAAACAAAACGTTTGCCCAAACCCCATTATTTGCCAAAGCATTAAAGCTTGAATTTAGATAGTTCCTCTAAGTGTGTGGCTATTTGACAATGAGCTTTCTTCAGTGCAATTAAAATCCTCTGTTTGTTCTGAAGAACAGCTTGGAGCTGCTCTCTTGATTCAGCAGAATGAACAGAAATCCCAGCTCCTGGGATTTTCAGCTAAATCCCAGTGTTTTGTGGGAATCCCCTGGGGACAGGCATTGTCCTCTTGCTCCCATCAGACCTGGGAGAGTTTTTTCAGGTAAATGTCAAACTCAGCCAGAGGTGATGCTGCTTTATGGTCCAGGGAGCTCATGCAGCCAGCACAAGGCAGGGGAGTTGTCTTGTGCAGCCTGAACAAACCCTGGGTGCAAGCTGATGCTGTGTGAACCCAGAAGGAGAATTAAAAACAGCCCCCAACACCAGGGCAAGGCTGAGTTTTTCAATCCCTTGTCATGTGTATGAACTATTGTAGCTCAGCCCTGAAAATCAGTCCCTAGAGAAGGTCTAAACCATTCTGGAAAACAAGGGAGTTCACATGTGCCCATCCTCCAAACATTTGAAAAAGCATTTTTTGGGGAGGGGGGGGGGTTTCATTGTCAGCCCTCTCTCTGCCAGGAATGTGTTTTTAGCAAGGTGAAAGTACCAAAGTTTGGGGGGATGTGTCCAGGAAAGTTTAGACCTTTCACAAAATTCTTCAGGGCTTGTAGTTGTCAGATTTCTGAAATGATTCCCTGCATTTGAACACTTCCCATCAGACTGCAGGAGACATGTGGGGCCCTGTGAGTGGGCACACTGGGACACTGCTTTCTGAGGAATTTGGATGCCAATAATATGCTAATAAAAGCTACTTTTGCACAGGGGATATTTCCCTGGAAATCAATGTTGAAAACGTTCTGGGAGCAGGCACGGCAGCAGATTAAAAAATATATATTTCAATATATTGTGTATGCTATATATAAAGCATATTTTAAAGAAAATTTGTTAAAACCCTTGAAAGTAGATTAATGAGCTTAGGCAGATTCTGAAGTGTCCTCAGAGTAATTATAAACCCTGAGACGTGTGCACATCACAGAAAAAATTGCATTTGCCTTGCCTCTGGCTCTGCAGTCGAGCGACCTATCCCTGGCAGAGTGCTATAGTGATAAGTTACATAAAATCCCTCTGCCCAATGCACTGCAGATTCACTGCAGTGCACCTCTAACAGCTCTGAGTGCATTTCCCATCCGAAAGCACAGAAATGCCACAGGGAAAATGGGACAGGATATTGAAATTTAGCTGCCAAGCCTGAGCCTGCAGCGTGGGCTGGTCCCTCGCTCCCGTTTGAGGCTCCTGGAGCTGTGTCTGACAGGATTTGTCTCCCAGGATACCCAGGGCTGGGCACTGATGGCTGCATTCATGGAATTCATGGATCTCACCAACTAAACACATCTGGAAATGTGACCTCTGAAAAAGGGCTGGTTTGAGTGCTGTGCCCTTTCTGTTTCACCTGGTACCCGTTTTTGACATCTGATTTATCACATTAAATATCCCAGTCTTCCCAGACTGCTGCTAACCTCTTCCTCCCAGCAGCAAGTCCTGCCAGAGAACAGTGAAATTTGCATTTTATAAGCAGTGCCAAATAATTCAGTGTATGAATCAAATAGTTCCTATTGCCTTCATGTCGTGAGACTTTTTTTACCACATAAAAAATTGTGGGGGGAATTTGAGTAGTTGCCAGTACACCCAGGTTATGTGTTGAGGCTTTTCTTCCCAACAATAAAAATGCTTTTCTTTTTAAAGAGAAGAGCTTGAGATCTCCCAGATTCTTTAAGAAAACTCCTTAAGAACTCCTCACTCATGTGCACAACCACAAGGTTTCCTTTCAATAACAAATTTCTAAACGGTTTTCTAAAATACTTCATTCATACTTTTCTAAAAATACTTCATTCTCTATAATTAATTTTTGTGATATTTCTCTGAATCATGGTTCTGTTTCTCAGAGCTAAAAAACTGGTAAAGAAAGGATAAAGATACAATATTTTATATTTCTCCATATGGAATATGTAGCTTTTAATATTATTTTGGAGTGTAGTTTCTATTTGATGTTCTTGGTACATTATTTGCCTTGGTAGTGTCTTTTACAAATGAATTACTATTGAACAGTACCTAACTTTCCATTTGAAATAATCCCAACAGGTTTTGCTATCATCACCTTCAAGTAGGAATTAGAATAAGGAGGCTTTATTAACATACTTATTATTTTCAAAAAGCTCATGAACAACTGTGTGTAGAGTAAATGCCAAAATGAAAGACTCTAGAACCTCTAGACTGCTCTAATGAGATTTATACCAGAACAGAAAATATTTAGGCTGGTTTTGGTGTAAAAGGAAGAAAATGACTTTATTATACATGTCTAAGAGATCAATATACAAAAGAATTCACAGGCATAATTTTGTTGATATAGCTAAATTATGCATCCCAAAGCATTATAGATTAATGTTCAAATAAAGAATTTTACTGATAAAGTTGCAGCAGCAGAATTATTCAAGAGATATAGAAAGTCTGTCTCTCACTGCAGGGTTTTGTTTGCTTTCTTCATGTTCCTTCTATTATACAGTAACTCTGTATGTTTTTATGTAATGGTTGCATTAATGCATAGTGGCCTCTATTTATGAGAGCTACGTGCTCCAGTTGATAGGACAGCAAATGGGATAGGATGAATTGAAATAGATTTTAAAATATGAGGAGAAGAAATGATTATTACTCTCCTCCAAAATCTTCTTGTCAACTTTTATATTGCTAAATCAAAGCTGCCTTAATGTTGGCTGCTGATACGCATCTTGTATACATGGGGTATATTTTAAACATTCTGTAGGGGTCTAATGGCTTCACCAGTGAGTTGCAGTAGAAAATCTGATTTATTTCAGCATTGGGTACTAATAGGTCTATGTGGGATTCCACTCACATTTTTACAGGCATGAGCAAATAGAAGAACCATGGTTATTAATCATCCAGTCAGGACATTATGATTTCAGAGGCTCTTTGGCTGCACTTACACAAACTACCATTGCATTTTATAGTCATCCTTCTAAAATGTGTCTGATTTTTATTTATTGTAGCAATACAAACAATAGTGGAATAAAAATGCAGCAAGAAAATTAAGGGAAAGTGTTTAGTTGAAGATTTCATACAAAGTTTTTCCATTTAAGATCATTTGGTGCAGTTGCATTCTCCCTTTCTCAATCTGATGTCTGTAAGCCTGAATTTGGTCTTCTGGTTTTGATTTTAGATAATGTACTGTATAACCATGACTATATAAGTTATAGTTAAATTCTAATGTGAAAATGATTAATTTTTATCTCAGTTTTTCTCAATATATACTGCTGTATTTTCATTAAATACAAAATATAGCTATACTTAAAACAGAGAAAACAAATTAGTTTTTTACTTAGTTTTATTATAAGTTTCCACTAGCAATGTACCTCTTTTCTGAATGGCTGATTACAGAACAAGAAAACTGGTTTGATATTTCCCTCTGAGAAGGAAGAAATATGTATTGTGATTGTCCTATAGCTTGTAAAACTTGGGGGCACAGTCACTTATGTATTCAGGTCTAGAAAAGCACTATTACAGAGGGAAAAAAAAGCCACACTAGGAGCTACAGAACACTGAAATGATCAGGATAGTGCTGGAATTTTTAACAAGAACATCCTGTTGCATTCTTTTATTTATGGCTATTTTAAACACCAGCACAGTTCTAACCACATGCTATATATAGAAGGAGGCACATATCCTATTGCTCATCCCAGTTATCCTGGCATAGTCGATGCATTTTACAGATATTTAAAGAATTATAAGGAATCAGTTGCTGGTTTAAAACATATGTTTTTAGAACTCTGGGCTGTAAATCTGATCTTACAAAATACAGATGAAGTGTGGCTATTCCACTTTCAACTTATTGCAATGTGATGATTGTTCTCTGTCGTGGAGTTGCAGCCAAAAGAAAATCAGGGAGGTGATTTCTGTTCGTACTTATGTGTACAGAAGGAATCACCCTGCGTGTAACCCTCCAAGCTGAGCTGCCCAAGCACTTCTGCTCACTGAGGAGTGTTCTTCATTCCCTATTCCCAGCTTAACTTTGCATAAATACCTGTAACTCCTGTTTGGGGGCTGCCTAAGACCCCTGAGCTGGGCCAGGGTGTTCTCTGCAAGGGGCAGGACAGAATTTGTGTTGTCATTGTTAGGAAGTTCAGAAAAACTCCTAAACTTTAGTTCTTCAGAAATCACAGTGTGAGAGCATGAACAAAGGGATCTCAGTCTCTCTAGCTGTAATAAGCTGTCCCTTGTACGGGCTCCTTCACAGTGATGGCACTGTTTAGGGAGCCGTACTCTTCCTGGCACAGTTGCACTGCCATTGATACCACAACTAAGACAAGAATTCAAACATTAATTCTAATTGTTTTTAAGTGAGTCATTGACAGTTTAATCTGCTACAGAGTGTCCCTGCTACTTGTCCCAGCGGACAACGTAGACTATAAAAGGCTGTTATTCTCCCCTCCACCATATAATTTCTTTCTGATATTTGTCGTGCATCTGCACCGCCACAATTCCTGATTTGTACGTGTTGCATCTGCGTTGGAGCGCGTTGAAGCAGCACAAACTCTGTCTTGTAAAGCCTTTGACACACACTTTTATTCCTCCCACCAGACCGAGCCTGAAATTATAGAAGAAACAAACGTTGACCGCGTCAACGAGCCGCGGAACTACGGCCGGGCGCGGCAGGCCAAGGGCCACTCGGAGACGTCGACGCTGAGCTCGCAGCCGTCCATCGACGAGGTGCGGCAGCAGATGCACATGCTGCTGGAGGAGGCCTTCAGCCTGGCCTCTGCTGGCCACGGGGGCCAGCCCCGGCAGGACGCCTACGGCTCGGCCCCACACCTGCCCTACAGCGAGGTGGTGACCAGCGCCCCGGGCACCATGAACCGGCCGCGGGCGGGCGTGCAGTGGGTGCCAACCTACAGGCCAGAAATGTACCAGTACAGCTTGCCAAGGCCCGTAAGTGGAGCTTCTCCTCGCTGCACTGTCATGTCAGAAAGGTGTTTCTATTCTGAGCCACTTTATTTTATTTTATTTTATTTTATTTTATTTTATTTTATTTTATTTTATTTTAATTTTATTTTATTTTATTTTTATTTTATTCTATTTTAATTTAATTTTTATTTTATTCTATATTTTATTTTATTTTATTCTGTTTTATTCTATTTTATTCTATTTAATTCTATTCTATTCTATTTTATTCTATTTTATTCTATTTTATTCTATTTTATTCTATTTTATTATATTTTATTTTATTCTATTCTATATTTTATTTTATTTTATTCTATTTTATTTTATTCTATTTTATTCTATCTTATTATATTCTATCTTATTTTATTCTATTTTATTCTATATTTTGTTCTATATTTTATTCTATTTTATTCTATTTTATTTTATTTTTCTTTTTTCAATTTATTTTTTTTTTTTAGAATAGTCCCATTTATGTGCTGAAAACCAGATGCAGCAGAAAATAACAATGTGTAGGGTGGTGTATATATATATACACATATACATACATTTATATATTTATATATTTATATATTTATATATTTATATATTTATATATAAATATATTTATATATTTATATATTTATATTTATATATACACACATATGTGCTTGCCTATTCACCAACCTAGACTTTGCATTTGGGAGGATGAGTGAGCCACACACGTACACCATGAAGGACACACTTCTGTCTTAGCAGCAAGTTTGTCTTGTCTAAGTTGTACTAAGAGTTAAAAGAATAGGCTGCAGGCTGTTCAGCAGATCCCAAACTTGCTTGCACATCTCCTTCTACTCAGTGAATGCATTCTAGGAAGCAATGTGGTTTTATGGAGTAACTGTGGTGGCATCAGGGAGGGAACACCAACAGTTGTGCATCACTGGAGTGGCTCATCACTGAAGAGCAAACTGAAATGTGGGCTGTTATTGGCACTCTTGCACTTACAGGTGTTGGCTTGAGTCTCTAGAGAAGAAATTCAGTGAAGATTTAATTCCACAGGTCTCTTAGTTGACCTCATAACTCACTTTATCCTTCATTTTCTAACCTCAAGCAGCAGCTAACATGTCCTCACCTCGCAGACGTAACACGTGAATTAGGAACTTAAACCCAAGGGTGGAAATTGTTAATGGAATTTTGTAGGTGACACAAAATCTAGACAGCAGTGACACTGGCACTGTGCACACCCTCATGTGTGAAACTGCCCCTGAATTCCCACATATGGTAATGTGAAACTCAACAATATATTTTCCTTTATGTCAGATACAAGTCTAAACCAAAGGTGATTGCTTTCATATCAGAAATAGCCCATCCAACAATACCACTGTGACAAATTGTTCATTTTAAGGCTTTTTTTTGGTCAGAAATTATTTTTTATAAAAAAAATGTATTTCAAATTGAGTCCCTAACTCTGGCTAGAATAAGAGGATAATGCAGAAAAATGTCCTCAGTTCAAAGTAACCATTACCACGACTTCCTTCCATGACAATAAAAACTACATTAAGGGATGCTGCTTCTGGACTATGCTGAACATAGCTGAAAGCCACTGGCACTGCCTGCAAAGGTTCAGGTTGGTGCTATTTAAATCATGCTAAAGATTATTTCTAGAACTTTGAAATTGGTCTGATGAAATTCATCCAGCATATAACCATATTTTATGGTTAGAATTCGATTAGAAGCTTAAGAGACAGCTAATGGGGAATCAAATTACCTCGACACTTCAAAGCATCTTTCTAAAATGAAATTAAAAATATTATAGGGTGAGAGTTTTTTTAAAAATATAATAGCCATTCTTTTTGTGGTGAATGATTCACTGTTGTCTTTCTAAGACTTATTACTCTCCTGAATCATCTGCCTGTTTGGAACCTTTTGCTTATCTTAAATTCCCTGAAGATAGTTGATTGTCACAGATTAAGAAAGGCACAGGCAGCCATTTGGATAAGGGCTGGTAATTCATTGATTTCTGCATATCAGTTTCATAAATATACACTGTGCTTCAACCACCCCATTTTCTGCTTTGTTCTCGTGGGGATGGAGTGTTGGAATTGAAAATATCTCCAACTTTGGGGATGAGAGGTACCTGTGCACTGGGATGTTTGTTACCTCTGTAAACCAAGAATTAGTGATTTTTACCCTTTCATAAAATTCAATTCTTAGCGGCAATTAAAAGTCAGCATCAACAATGCTGTTACAATTCAAAGCACTGAGCATTTTGAAAATGACAATTTCATCCTTGAGAATTCAAGAGAATTTTGTCTGCTTAGATGGAGCAAGTGCAGAGGGGTCCAGAGCCACTCTTTAGTTCTGTGTTTCTTCAGGCATCCTCCAAACTATGGATCTTTTTAATTTTTTGTAATCAAGTCCCGCCATCAAACATTTGTGTATCTCTACAGAGCGTGCACGCATCTCTTTTTTATCCTTTTCCATTTTTTTCTCCCTTTTGAGGCCTCCTGTGTGTTTTTTATTTGTTTGGTTGGGTTTTTCTGTACATGCTGTCATTAAGACCAAAATTTTCTGTAGCTCTTGTGAGCTGTTTGCCAACCTGCCCCGTTGGGTGACCTGTGAAGAGAGGATTCCTCCACATGGGGCTCACGCCTTCTCCTGGCAGAGGAAGCCAGTGAAATGCAAACTCTCCCTGTTGTTCTGGAGCTTCCAAAACCATGATGAGTAATGTTTGGCTGGTGTGCTGTGGCTGGAGGATGGAGCTGGAGAGTTGAACGTGTGCCACCAGCCCGACCGCCAGCTCCGCGCCTTGGTTGGTCGTGTTGTGGCTCTGGCAATTTGCTCAGAGCTGAGACCAGAGAAGAAAACCCTCACCATCACAAGGCTGGGCCAGCTTCCATCTCTCCTCCTCAGTGCTCTGGAAAGAGGAGTGAGAGTAGCAGAGCTCTGGGTGAGACCCAGCGTCACAAACCGATGAGCAGCACTTAAAGCCTGAGTGACTGCTAAAGTATCCCCGTCCTCAGAGCTCCCCTTCATTTAACAGAGGTAAAGTGGGGGTATTTTATCAAAATTCAGCCACTTTTAATAGCAGCTGCTGAGGATAAAACAGGACAGCTATAAATGCAAAGCCAAATCAATAAATTTGTATTATTCCTGGATTGAAATTTAATAATCAAATAAGTTAAATCATTCAATGAGTTAACGAGGACATTGGCCTTTTAATTCCCATGGTGAGGTGTAAGGGGATGGATATTTCTGTAATTAGAAGGCAATGTAGAATACTTTCACCCAAGACCAATCCTTAAGTGGAAGGCTGTAAAAATATTTAAATATTGCAACTAGGGAAATTTAGCCTTAAAAATAGCTGCAACATTCCTGCTTTGGCCTATAGTTATTGTGTGCTGGACTATGAGCATGGGCTGAGAGCCCTGGGATTGTTCAGCCTGGAGAAGAGACAGCTCCAGGGGGACCTTAGAGCACCTTCCAGTACCAAAAGGAGCTACAAGAGAGATGGAGAAGAGCTTTTTACAAAGGCATGTAGTGATAGGACAAGCAGGAATGACTTTAAACTGACGGAGGGCAGGGCTAGATTAGGTATGGGCAAGGAATTCTGTACTGTCAGGGTGATGAGGCACTGGAACAGGCTGCCCAAAAAGTTGTGTGTGGAGGTGTTCAAGGCCAGGCTGGAGGGGCTTTGAACAGCCTGGTCTCGTGGAAGGAGCCCCTGTTGCAAGGGGCTTGGGCCCAGATAATCTTTAAGGTCCCTTCTGAACCATTCTGTGATTTTTCTTCTCTGCATCCTGACAGGTGGTACCTGGGGCTGTCATGGGTTGTAGGAGACAATGGTGCAGGTGTCTGCTGGTGGCTGGATTTATCCTGCAGAGGATTTCTTGTCCTTGGCCCAATGTCTGCTAAAATGCACTTCCTACTTTTTAAAATTATTTATTGCTTTGCTCTTTAAATTGTCAGTGTTCTAGCCACAGCAGACTCCTTCATTTGGCATTTCTTACTGAAAGGGTGGCACAGGGTCTGCACTCTGGTACCTGTGCAGTCTGTCCTGGATCTCAGGTGTGATTACTTCTGCCAGTGATTGTTACAGCCTTTGTATTATACCTGTTCTCATTTTTCCAAAAATAGAGTTTGGAACCCATGCAGAATGTTTTCCTTAAGATTTTTTTCTTTTGTTCTTTTTGGGCTTTTGGTTTGCTTGTTTGCTTGAGTTTTTTTTTTTGTTGCTAAAAACCAAGAGATCATTTTAAAAGGATAAATACATTTTGAAGAGTAAAATTAGGCAAATCTGTGGAATCAGCTGGGTTGTATTTTTTCATTGTTGTTTTCCTCTCTGACTCGTTTCACAATGGTGAAATGACTTCAATTCTACAATCATGCCTGTTGCCCAAGAACCTAAGGGCTCATAAATATCTTTAACAGGCCTCTGTGGTAAAACTTTGATTTCATTTAGCTTCTGAACAGTTTTTTTTCCATTTATATGCTGCCTGCAGGAGGAAACTAATGCCCCAACCCATTGGAGAAGCTCTAGAAGTTTCACTGGAGTTCCCTCCCACATCCACGTTGGGCTGTGTGGCAGCTCCTGTCCCCTCTGGACAGGCTGTTCCTCAGCTTGGTGTAGCAGATCTTTTTACAGGATTTTTCACTTTAACAGGATTCTCTCTGCCCAGCCATTAGCAAAATATTGCCACTCACTCAAAATTGTTCATCTCCCATGTAAGCAGCAAAATAAAGGCTTAGATTTTCTATTTTACTTTTTCCCCCTGAAATTTCCAGTGCAAGTCGCAGCATATTTGTGAACTGTGATCCCTTAAAATACCTAATACCTCCTTTGATGTCCATATTCCAAAGCACAGCACACAAGAGAAAACCCAAATCTCTCTCTGAGTCTCTGCCTACCCTGCTAAAGAGTGTCTGGAGTCACTTTCCACTCTGAAATATTATCTCATGTGCTGTTCCTTTAAAACAGGGGGAATGAAAAGGATTTCCTACTTGTCACAAATGCATGCTGAGAGCAAGATATGGGATGAAAGGCTTGTGGAGCCAGAATTCAGTCAGCCTGTGAGGGCACTGCCAGTGTTTGACATGCAGAAGAGGCATTGCAGACCATTTCACACCCAGCACTATCAGGAGAAATATAATTGAGGTTTTCTTTGATGAGAATAACATTTGTTTTTTTCCTTACAGTTCTTTCATTAAAAAAATCAGTGTTTCCAACCCTTGGCTAAGAAATGTAAAAGTGTCTTTCAAGATGGGGTTTTTTTTCCCCTCCTCAAATGTAGAAAATCTTTAAATATCATGATAGCATTGTGAAAGTGAATACTAGGAGACTTTGTAGGTGGCATGAAAGAAAAAATTATTTTCAGAGACATGCCTTTGAGGGTTTCTAACCTGCTTTAAAAGGTGAGAGGACAGAGAAAGATGCTGGGTCTATAGTGCTTTTCCCTTGGAGATGCATCAAAAATCAGCTTTATAAGTTACCTTTCCTTTTTGTTGACCTAGTTTTGCAGGTTTTTGAGAATGAAGGTATTTGGAATACAGTCTAAATGTGTAATTTTAAAAGATGATTACTGAAAGACAGTGTTTTCTGATATATAGTGTGGGATTTATATTGCCAAATTCCAACCTGAATGTAGGTGGTAAGTCTGAAATAATCATGTAAATCCTGTAGGGCTCTTTCTCTGGGCAGGAGATGGAGTGTGACTCATCCCATGTGTTTTAATGTGTTTTTAACTTTCACTGCTGTTTGTGGAGGAGCTTCTCTGGCTGAACCAGATACTTCTTGTTTAGAGGGCCAAAGTTCCATCATTGGACTCAATTTTTTTTGGTCAAAATGCCATTGTCTTGATAGTGATCAGCTTTTCCAAAACTTATTTGTTATTGCTCTGATTTTATCTTTATTCCTGTGCATTGCTCCGAAGCATCATCATAAAAACCATAACTGGAAAAAAAACAATCACAAGCAAACAATAAACCAAAAACCAACAGGAAAACAAAACCCCCACCCATGATGTGCTGAAGAAAAGTTTGGTGAAGCATCTAGTGAGATTCCATTCCTCTGTCTCTAAGTGGATTTGGAAAAATGATGGCCTCTATTCTATAAAAAAGTATTTAGGAGGAAAATTCTGTCCTTCATGTCATTTCTTGGGTGCTGTGGGTTTCATGCACATAATTCCTCCTCCTTCACATGTATTGGTGATGAAATTCAGAATTACTGCGGGCAAGCTGCTTAATTTTGTGACTTTGTGGGTTGGGCATGGTGTTCCTCTGGATCAGTCTGCTTTTTCAGAACTGTTTGAGGCCTTTCTTGCTGTGTTGGAAAGTTACAGAACCTGGGGGTTTTGTGAAGAATTTTCTTTTCATCTCTTGGAGGCTGAAGGGAAGAGGTTGAAACAGAGATTGCTCACAGGCAGCTTCACCGCAGTACACACTGCTCTGAGGATGCTTTCTGAATCTTTGAAATACTTTTTCTCCTGCAGAAAGTGAAAATATTCAGGTCTTTTTCCCATGATCCAAAGCAGCTGTTGAGTCTCACATAATCACAACAGATCTGCTTTGCCAGCAGGTTACAAATGTCACAGAGACAGTGTTGAATATGTTTTATTTTAATTAGACTTCATTTTGTCTCTGAGTTAATTTCCAGGTTTTCTTCCACATTCAAAGCACTGTAAATTCTCAAATAAATACAATTATTGTTGATGCCACAAAAAGTTAGCTTCCTGTTGACTGGCACACAGTGCAAGTACTTAATTTCTGATTTCGTTTTGTTTTTCAATTTGATGGTGTTTTACTGGTGTTACAGAAAATATTTATTCTTCTCTGTTACAGGCTTATAGATTTTCTCAGCTTCCTGAGATGGTAATGGGTTCTCCTCCCCCTCCTGTCCCTCCCAGAACGGGTCCTGTGGCTGTTGCCTCTCTCAGGAGGTATTTATCTGTTATTTTATTTTAGGCACAGTCTCTAAAACCCACTATCCTAATAAGAACCAGGGCAAACCCTGAAGGGGCACTTACAAGGCACTTAGAAAGATACATTCATGAAATTAGAAATATGTCGGTTTAATTTCATTTTAACACAAAACAAAGTAACAATGGATTTTCTGTGAATAGTCTGTGCCAATAAAAATAGGAAATGCAGGCTCTTAATTCTTTTTAAATAATCCTTTGCCTCAGCTGGCATAATGGTGTGCTGGATTGAGGCAGATAATTCACATCATCATTCTCCTGCTTTCCTGCGTTGTAAGCACTTGCAACATTTCCAAAGAAATTCCAGGACATTTCCAAAGACATTTCCAAAGTTAGCACTTCCCAAGTGCAGTTAATGTTATTTACCATGGTGGTCTCCCACTGTGTGATACCACATCATGTGCACTGTTGTGATTGTGACTGTGTTGGTGAATTATGGTAAAATTCTGGTGAATTTTGGTAAAGCTCTGGTTTTAATGTTGTGTTTCACAGGCGTTTGTTTGAAGCAGCAAGCAAAGCCCCTACATGCTTTGGTAAAATAGCAACCAGGCTAAAAGGGTTGTTTGTAAGCTTCTCCAGGCTTCTCCAAACTTCTCCTGTTGTCCAGTTGTTCTCCAGACTTCTGTCATGCCACAGCAGAGTTGGACAGCTTGCTCCTCACTGGCTTGTCCTGCTCGAGCTGACAGGCCTCTGTGTGGCTACAAATCTCATCTGTAGGTCAGCATGACAAAAATTTCTGGTTTTTTGGTTTCTTAACGCACAGGTCCACATCAGATATTGGCAGCAAAGTGAGAATACCTGAGTCCAGTGGAGCAGACCAGGCCCAGCATCACGATCAGACGCCTTTCGCGCCGGGTTCGAGAGCTCCCATGTCTGTTGGGCCGCTCGATCAATCGGCTTTTCACTCAGGTGACTCAATAATTCACACTCAACTCAGAGCTTTGACAGCCTCATGAGCTGGTTTGGCTGTAAATGAATGGGTGGGATATAGAAAATGAGGATGATTTGTAATTTTTCTCTGTTTTGACGCTGTACTTCTCAAAACTGGATTTCTCGGTCTCCTCTGGGCCGAGCTCCTTCAGGATATCCCTCACAGGGAGTTCCATTTATCTCAGTTCTCTGGGTCAGAAGAAAACTCCAAAGCTTGTTAGGATCTTGTTTCTTGTGTTTATTAGGATGTTGGCAGGCCTTCCCAGACTTTCTGCACAAGTTTAATTCACCATAACCTGGCTCACTTTGGCTCTGAAGGCACAAAATGCCCTGAACCACGAGGCTGTTTCATCTTTATATCCGTTTTTACCCCATTAACAATAGACACATGTCATATTTTTATATATTAACAAATAAGTTATGTAACTAAAACTGCAACTAACTTTCAACCAAGCACTCTTTGTGCTCCTAAAAACTGCAGAATCATGGAGAAGAAGGAAGAAGGAGAGCTAAGAACCACACCTTTCTTCCTCCATCTTTACTCTGTGTATTAAACACTCTAAAATCTATATTTTTTACTTCAGTGACATACTAAACATTCTACTACCTTCTACTTAATTTTTTATAAATCCTGGTTTACCCAGGGGTATTTGGAAGCCTTTCTGTCAGTGACAGACAAGATTAATATCTTTTTGGAGAAGAGGACAAAAAGAGAAATGTTTCTCCATTTCTGGATTCCTACAATGATTTTTTTTTTGGAGAAAGACTGTATTAGGTGGGGTTTTTCCTGGTGCTAAGGAAAAACCTTACACAGGGGATTAACCTTACTCCAGGGGATGGGATACTCATCCTGCAGAAGCACCAGGAAATGGCTTTTTCTGAAGGTAGGATCCAGCAGTAACATCCCAAATGTTCTGTATTAAAGTGTGGCATTCTTCTGGCACACTGATCAGGACTCTGCACTGATAAAACCCAGTGAAACTGTTCATCTGTACCACAAAATGCAGTAGAATTTTAGGGAGAATTTTTAGTAGAATTTTTAGGGTGGCAAAATGAGTTGCAGTATTGGGACTGCTGTGTGACTTGTTTGTGTTGCACTTTGCACCAACCAAGCAAATAAAAAATATAAAAAAAGATAAGTTAAATTAAAAGATAAAAAATTAAATTAAAGATAAATTAAGATAAAAATAAATTAAAAAATAAAAAGATAATGGGGGAGAAATGGGTTGGATCCTTCCAATATTTTGTCAATCAAGAGTATTGGTCCAAGTGCTTGAAATCTTTTTTAAGGCTCTCTATTTTCTCTTGGGAAATGTCACCCCTACTCTTATCACAACAGTGGGCTTCTGAGGAGGGAAAATTGAAGGTACATGGCCCCTTCAAACACAAGGCAGTGGTGCTATTGCACAGTCAAAGGTGATCTGTTAGCTCTTCACCCCTCCTGGAGAATATTGTTCCAGCTCAGAACTTGTTTTGGGTCTAAAAGTCCCAGTTTTAAAGGCCTAGTCAGTTCCTGGTCCTTTTGATATAAGTTGTATTTATAAATTAATTGATTTAATCATGAGATGAAGCTGATGTATTGTTTTGATGGTGCCTGGGTAATATTTAGCTGGAAAAAAATATTTCAAATGAGTTCTTATTGGCAAAATGTTCTTGAAGAGTTGTGGAAAAAAGCTTACAATATTCAAAAGAATTTTCCATTAGTTCAAAGCTTTGAAATGAGTAGGTTTGTTAGACATTGCTCTGTTAATCAGCCAGAAAAAAATTCTTTCTTAGCTTCCTCAGAAGAAATAGAGAGTTATTTGTGTTGTTTTTGACATCATCTACTGAGAATCATAATGTGGCTAAGCAAAAGTGTTGTCAATGAATTAAATACAGTGGGTTTGAAGGATCCATTCTACTCTCACTTATTGTCAGACCTTCTGCAAATGGTGCAGGACCTGAAAGGAGCAGATGCTCACCCCTCCATTTCAAAGCATTTCAAGCTATAAAATATGCCACACTGCCTAGACCTCTCCTTTAAGTGCAATAATGTGGTCTGTGGGATGCACTTTTTTATTGGACCCAGTGCTGGGGAGATTTTATTGCTGTGTGCTGCTCTGAAGAGTGGCTGCAGTTCAGAAGAGACAAAATGACCTTCCTGAACATTGTGGAGTTTGCCAGAATAATTCTGGGAGCAGTTGAAGGAAACTTTTTTATATGAAAGGTGCTACAAAAGGCTGTAATACAGGCAAGTAAAGACAAGGAAAATTGTGAAAAATGTACAATTGTAATAGAAGGTTTCAAACGTTCTGATGTGAAAATAACTTTTTATAGCCTCAATACATGAAGAAACATTGCTGCAGGTGCTGATTTGGAATGTTAATGCCCAATGTCACTCTCATGCAGCCCAGCATCAGCTCTAAGATAAGGATGTAGCAACAATAATTTAGGATAAGGTATTACCTCAGCCAATTGAATATTCATTTTTGAGTAGTAGCTCCTTTTGCTGTGGTTAAATTCAAAGAGTGTTTTGGGGTAGAAGCCATTTACAGGAGCAGCACTTTCTTCTCTGTACATGTTTGAAGAATGTTAATTTTCAGTCTTGCTAACTCCTTTAAAATAGCAACCCTTGTGCTGTTTATGACCTGGAAGGACAAATGCCTGACCTCTCTTAGTCCACCCTCTTCCAAACCATGGGGCTGGAGGAATTGGGATAGAGGTGGTGTGTTTCTGCTCTGGAGAAAAATTTGCTACAAAAACCATATTTTAGTCCTCTTTTCATGCCCTGATTGCATCCATAGCAGTTGTGGCCTGGGGCTGCGTGGGAGGTCATTGAGAACCTGTAAATATCTGGGTTTATGGAGGTTGCTTTGGGGGTGGATGTCACTGGTGGAGTCTATCTCTGTGCACGTGCCCATGCAATGTCCCAGCACCTGTCAGAGCAGGCAGCATAACCCTCTTGCACATTGTTCAGGAGCAAAAAATGTGCCAGGGCTGTAAATGAGATTCTGGGGGATGGATATTTGAAGCAGTAATTGATGCTAATTCAATTATACTCCGTCTGAATCTCTGTGATTTTGTCAGCATAGTGGTATCATAGCTACTGAGAGCAATTAGTAGGAATATTCAAATGGTGTGCAGTTGGAAGGGGGAGAAATTTTATTTTCTCTGCATTGATTTTAGTACAGAGAATCTGCCCAGCTGTGTGATGTTACTCTGCTTCCATTCCTCAGTGAAAATGTTGGAGTTGTGTTTTGTTGTGTTTTTAAAGGGTTAACTGCCCTTCTGCTTTCATTTAAGTGATGCTATTTTTGCTATATTCTGTGAATCTGAGCAGTAAAATAGAAGTTCATGTAGTATAACTGAACAAACTAAAAACCTAATAACTGATAAAGATGATATGCAGCTGTCCCATTCAGGATTTAGGGATGAGGATTTCATGCCCCTGGTGTGATGTTGGTGATTCACTTCTAGAATCTGTCTTTGCATGCAAATAGACACTGGAGGAAGGAAGACTCAACTGGGCAAAAAAGTTGTTTGTATTCTATTTTTAACTAAAAGGCAAATACATGGAGTTCTGACAGCAAATCTCGAGGGAAACACGGCTCCTTCCACACAAATTGGAGTGTGACAGTGGGATTTTCATCCAGGAGGTTTCCTGGGTATTCCTATGCATGCATCTTAATCAAGAGGTGATAAACCAGATTTGGAATCAGCAAATATTTGTTTAAGTTGTAGCTACATAATTTATGGCAGTCATAGATTGTTCTTGGGAGAAGAACTGAGCAGGTAGAACCTTGGTAATGTTTTGCAGAAGCATTGAAGCTTAATGATGGATTTGTTGAGAGTGCAGCCTTTTAAACATATCAGTCACTCGTTTTTGTAGGGTTTTTGCTTAGAGATATTAAGAAATACTGGGTAAACTGTGAAAACAAAGGCGCATTACACTGAAACCCATGGTAACAGCAGCTGAAAATTGAGTACAAGGAAGAAACTTAAGGGGAAAAATGCCTTTTTTTCTAATGATTCAAAGTTTTGAAGATCATTGTTACAAGGATCAAGTCCTAGGGACTCTTTACCTGAAGGCTGTACATGGTTATGAGGACAACTGCAAATCTTGCCTTCTCCAGTATTTCCCAGCATTATGAAGATGCTCTAGTCAGGTGGTGGGACAAAAAAACCCAAAACAAACCCAAAGCCCCAGACAAAAAACCAAACAAACATAAGCACTATATTCAGATTTACAACTGAAAATCTCAGCTATTAATGAAGCCTATTCTTTTTTTATTTGACAGGAAATACAGTACCAGCAGTGTTTGCCATTCCAGCCAACAGACCTGGCTTCACTGGCTATTTCATCCCAACTCCTCCCACTGCCTACAGGAACCAAGCCTGGATGCCCTATGCTGGAGAGAATGAGTTGCCAGGGCAGTGGGCAGACTCTGTAAGCATCCTTGCTTCTCTAACCACCCCTGTTTTCTGTGTTTTGCACAGGAAGGGTTTTCAGCAATTCTTCACTGGCCTACAAAGAAGCCAAAAGGGATAATTTTTTAATTTTTCCTTGAATGGGAATAATGTCTAGTAGTGGAAAGCCACAAGAGATGGCATAGATACTTCAGCTGTTCATAACATGAACTGTAACAAGGTCTTTAGAAGGTGGAATCACTCACTAGGTTAGGGCCTGGCACCTATTTAAATTTGGTGGGTTAGATGTCATTTTGGTTTGCTGTGAAAGCTTAAATTTTTGGATAGACACTTGTCAGGAGAAGGTGATGCTGCCTCACAAGGCAGCCTTGAGCTGTTTGAAAGTTGGGGAAGCATCTTGCCCTCCTGGAGGCTTCTCTCAAGACAGCCTGGCTCCCAAAATCTTACCTCCCAGCACTGCTGCAGCCCTGCTGTGCAGAGTTTCAAATCCTCCCGAAGACTGGAGTGACAGTTCATAAATTAAATAATTAATTGCACGATGCCAGACTGGAACAGATGTAATTTTTTAGCCCAAAGTAAACCTACATTTCAAAGAATCGGAGTTGAAACATCCTGAAATGAATTGCAGTAGTTTATCATGTTTGAGACAATTTCTCTAATGTGTAGGGCTCTTTTTACACTAGGGAAAAAAAGATCAATTCTTCAGCTTGAGCTCACATCTGATATTTATGCAGAACCATTCTGGCTAAAAAAACCTGGTAGATAGATTCAATTTCCTCATACAAATCATCAACAGAACATTTTAATGAATTACAGTTGAAATCTAAGTTGTCTTTGAGCAGCTTAGCAAGAGACAACACAGTCATTATAAATGTTCCTGGGGGCAACTTTTTGTTGTTCACTCTTTATTGCTGCTCCCAGTGCCTGTGTGGAAAAGAATTCAGTATGACTTTGAGATGCAAGTCTGAATTTGAAGGCTGAACTGTCAGAAAAAACAGCTGAGCACACCTGCTGATGTGCCCCTGACACCTGGAGGCTTGTGATGTTCTGGTATAAATTTTCTTCTCAGAGCTGCCTTTTAAAGCATGAAAAGCTTTATTTTCCTTTGTTGTTGATTTTTTTGGTGTTTGTTTTTTGTTTATTTATTTGTTTTATGTGTGGTTTTAACCCTTCTGGCATCTTAAATTCAGGAGGCCCCATTTTATCTTAACAATGATTTTAAACTTTTTCTCTAAGAAGGAAAAAAGCCACGAAACAAATAAGGAAATTTGAATTGTCTTCCATTCATTCTCCCCTTGGTATCTCCACTCTTGACTGCAGCCCTGTGGAAAAAGTCAGGTATCAATTGTCAAAAGTGGAGATTAAAACAAACTGCAAACCAAGTCTCCAGCTCCCAGCTCCTTCCTCTGGAAGGAGAAGAGTTTAACCCTGATGTGGGTTTCCTGTCTTCAGAGAAAGAGGAATGAAGAGGGATGTAAGAATCTGTCTGAAAAATAACCCTGGCAATATAGAATTCAAAGGAAACAAATGTCCCTTTTAACTTCACTCACCCATGGCAGGTTGTTACTTTTCAGCCCTCCAGTGGCTTTGCAGAAGAGGTAAAAATTTAGAAACTACTGCAGTTTCTACAATGAGTTTGCAAATCTGTCAAGAAATTCTCTTTATTTGAAAATCATTACTAGAGGAGTTGGTAACAGCATTAGCAACATAGCACAGCCAGAAAGCCTGAATAAAATTGAATAGCATAAAAATCTGAAGTAATACTCAGGTTTCCTCAGTAATTCTCAGGGCTTGAATTTCTGGATGTGTCCTGGTTCCTGAGCCTCTAGATTATGGCTTGATCCCACTTCCAAGATTTTCTTACAATTATTGAGAACAGAGGCTTAATATATATAAGATACTTTATTTTGCACACATTTCTGCTATCCTAGTAAACAAGGTTTACTGTTTATCCTACTAAACAAGGGAGTAGAGGAAACAGGAGATTTGACAACAAGGAATTGTTTATAAACTCAATTCCTGTAATACATTATTCTCTGAGACAAATGGGAAGGATTGAAACACTAATTTCAATAAACACAAACGGTGTTTATTGAAACACTTTTGTGGGACAAGCAACTGTATCCACAAAGCATTTATTTTCCAAACTGCTGGATTCTGCTTAGTGAAAACAGTAACTTGGTGGCCTCTAGTGGCGTGTTCACATGTTGTTCTGGTAAAATCACCTTTTGAAGAGCCTGTTGTAAAATAAAACAGAGGTGACTACATCTAATGATCATTTTCGTATCGTACCTGCTTCCTCCCTTTGTCTCATCACACCAAGGTGAACATGTTTGATATTCTCTTCAGCATTTGATGGATAGCCAAGGCTGTGCAGAGGATGTGTAAATCCTGATGGTCAGGCTTCAGGAATAAACCCTTCCTCAATATTAAGGCCTGTAGATTCCTGTTTTACAGACTTTTGGAAATCATAAATGCTCTTTTTTATTTAATGCATTAAAATCTTCTGAGTGCCAAAAAAGACTGATATCATGGTTCATGGAATTGTGAAATCCATGGATTTGTGAAAGAAATTTAATCCATTCATGGATTTGTGAATGAAATTTAATCTCTCACGGTGACTAAAGGGCTGATGTTATTTAGTTGTAGCTGGTGTAACATGGGGATGAAATCTGTGAAGTTACAAAAATTACGTAATTCTGTTAAACATGGCCAGAAATCCTGACACTTCTGAACATTCAAACATCCCTTTGAGTCTTGAGTTTCCAAACTGGCTCACCTGAGCTTATCCCTGTCGTCTGGATCTGGGGAGTTTCTGTTCGGAGCAGTGAGACCAGACACTTGGCTGGCTTGGATTCGACAGCGCCTACAACTCAGAAAACTCTGCTTTTCTGCTCTAGGCTTTTTAGTGTACCAAAACCATGCTGTTTGTTTAAAACCAAAGTGTTTGCTAAGCAGGGATCACACCTTCATAAAAACCTTTTTCCTTTTGGAGGCGATGATAAATGAGGACAAGCAGATGTTTTTGCTGGGATCCCAAAGCTGGGACATTGACACGTGCACACATGGCACACGCCAAGTTAGGCATTCGTGAGCAGAAGCTGGGAATTCTGAGGTTTGCATTCCCTTCTTCTGGCCCTCTCTGTCCCACCTGGCAGCTCCCCAGGGAGCTCTGTGGTTCGTGGCAGGCGGCTCGGCGGTTCCGAATAACCCTGTGCAATTCTCCGCAGGTCCCGCTTCCCGGCTACATCGAGGCGTACCCGAGGCCCCGCTACCAGCACAGCTCCCCATCCCGCCTGCCCCGGCAGTACAGCCAGCAGGGCAGCCTGCACCCCAGCCTGGAGCAGGCTCCCCTGGCCTCCGCCGCCGCCTCCCAGCAGAGCCTGGCCGACAACGAGCCCTCCGACGCGCCGCTCACCAACATCTCCACGGCCGCCCTCGTCAAGGCAATAAGAGAAGAAGTGGCCAAGCTGGCCAAGAAGCAAACAGATATGTTTGAGTTCCAGGTCTAATGTATCTCCTGTGCACAGTGTTTGTACCTTGCGACCTGGGGTAGCCAAGAAAGTGACTCCTTTAATTTTCAGCTACAAATCTTCTGTGAATTGTGCCAAAGCGATGGCATTTTAATCTGTCCGAAAAGCCAACGCTACGAAATGACTTCAAGCAGAGCAACAGGACTCTGAAGATGTGAAATTCTGCTTTCCAGCTAAGGAAAAGCTGCCAGGAAACTGTTTCATACTGCTGAGATCAGCCATATGCAATTGTTTGTCACTTCGCTCTGGTATTATGACCCATCATCACTAAGATGCTGCTGAACGTGTCTGCGCCACAAGAAGTTTCATTTGCAGGCCCAGAGGCAAAGCTGCTGAAAATAACTTCTGCATGCCAAAACTTTGATTCAAGAAGAAAAAACCTGCAGAACAGGGTTTGCTGAAGGCCACGGTTGGCGTGGCAGTGGCCACGTTAATTGTTTGCTGTGGGACATTGTGTAAGAGGTGCTGATTTCAGCAATGCAGAGTCATTTCAGCCTTTTCATCCCAGAGACTGTATTCAAACCAAAAGAAATCAACATGATTAAGTAATACAAATAAAAGTCCTGTAAATAGCTCTGAGTCTCTTCATCCTATTCACAGTACAAAGAAGTGAGAGAAGAGAGGACTGTGAAGAGGGTGAATGACATTTCAATAATTGGTGGATACCTTGTCCCTCAGTGCCGCTGCTGAGTTACAGAGGAGATTTTTTTTTCAGCGTGAGAGAACACAATGCATGAAGAGCCAGCAAAGGATATTGGTGCTAAAAGCTTCCAAGAGAAACGAAGAAAGGTTATTTGTGTTCGCTCTATAATCGGGCTTTTCACTCTGAATGCATGTGAAGCTGGTAAACCTGAGACCTTTAAATCCTTCCAGCCTGGAAAAATGAATACACCTGCTTGGACAAGGAAACCTCTGCTCAACACAGTGCTTTTTTTTTCTCTTTCTTTAACAATGCTATCTACTAAAGTGATGCCAGAAAGTGCTCCCTGAAGCTGCAGCTGATTTTGATTACGCTGGCACGGTGAATGCGCACCCGGGAAGTTCTGAATGTAGAGGACCTGATTACTATATTAACATGTAAATAAGTTAACAGTTAACAAAAATACTAATGTTCTGTGAAAAAAGAGAGCATTGCCAGAAATGATGTTGACTTTATATTGTGCAAGATAAAGGTCACTGATTGTTAACACTGCGTTGTGGTAGGGATCCAACCCCAAAAGAAAACCAAACCACTTGGATGGGACAGTAGTTAATATTTTGCAGTTGTACAAACTAGTTGGAGATCATGAACAATTGTTTTCAGTTCCTTCAGCCATTAGCTTCAGGAACTGAAGTTGTTGCAAAATTTGTTGTGTTGGGAGTGTTTGACGTCAACTGGAGTTAAAGGTAATGTCCTTCATTTCAGTGGGTTATTTAGTTATCCTCGATTACTATTTTGTCTGATCATTTCATTTCCCTGAGTTTCTTTGGTCTTAACTGATGTGAGAAAGGGAACTTGGTTTAGCTTTTTGGCCATCAGTAAATTGAGAGGAGGAGAGAGAAGACTAGACTAGGGGATAGAAGAAGAAATTGATGAAGCACAAACTTTTAAAGCAGAGCTATTTTCCCCCCTAATAATTACATTACAAACCCTGACTGAGACTGTGATGAGTAATTATCCTAGAATATACAGACATCTTCTGCTCCAATACCTTGAATATTGCAGAAGCGTTTGGAATGCTAGTTAACCTTTCAATAAATGTGAAATTTCATTTTTATTATTTAAAATCAGATATAAATAAAATGTATTTTTGTAATTTCTATGTATATATGTGCTGTATATTTATATAAGTGATTAGTCTGCTATAGTCAGAAAATTTCCATAAACTAAGTGGAAAAGGAAAAAAAAAAGAAAGGAAGAAAAAAACCCCTGGTGATTTTACTGATCAATATAAACCTGCTATGTCTGGAGTACACAAATATACAATTGGGTGACTTGGATACTAAACAACCAAAGAAACTCAATTTTTAATATAAATACAAGTCTAGTAAAGGCTGGCTGCTGTCTCAGTTTCCTGTCAGCCAGATAATACTGATATTATCAGTGTAATATAACACAGCCAAATTGGGTCGAATTATTAGCTGGCTAAGAGCACCACAATTTAGAATAACAACTGAAAAATACTGGCCCAAACTCAGAAAGGAAAGCTCGCTTCTGGTGGGCTTCAGTGGGAATTTCCTTCACTGAGGGCAAGGCTGAGTTTCTCTGCTGGGCTTTGTCTATAAAAGCAAATTTCACTAGACCCCCTTGAGCAGAATTCTGATTGTTTTGCAGTCATTTGGATCACTGTAACACAAGTGCAGACATAATGGAAGAGCAGCTGAGTTTTATTTAGCCTGAGCTGGCTTGACCTAACCTGAGAAGTGAAACCTACGCCAGGTCGTGTCAGCCACGTTCTGCATCAGCTTCATCATCTCTGTTTTTGAATGATTCTTCTCTGTAGCCCAGTGAAATTTTGCAGGTAAATGGGCCCTTCTAAGCAGTAGGGGTGAAATGTGCTGTGCAATGAATTTCTCTAGCTTAGACTCCAGTTTTGCAGAGTTATCCTGAGGCTGAAATTATGGAAGCAGCCAGGATCCCATGGATGGGCACGCTGAAGCCATAGAGGTGGGAAGGGTAATGTAGCAAAGTATTCCCAGAAAAGTCACAGGAAGCAGGGCATTCCAGTTTCAAACAGCATCTTTTGGACACTGAACTCTGTTTTTAAGTCTGTTCCCATTCTTAAATTTTAGCAATTGAATAGTTCCATTGAAAAATGTGTGAGGGTAAAGTCTCATATATCTTACACGATGAATCTTGTATCTTGTCATACTGGAAACGAAAAGTTTTGGAAAATACAGAGATGTCCAGGGTTTGGATGTCTGTAGAAAACAGAAAACCCACAAAAAAAAGCATTTAAATAACCTTCTAGAAAGAAAAACCATTTCAGTAAAGTTAAACGAAGTACTCTTCATACTTCTGAGGAAGACCTGTTAGAGTTTCAAAATTAATTTTGTTTGGTATTACTATGGATGATGTGCAGTCTATTGAATATTTCCTGAACCATCACTCTGAAGCCATTGTGGTGCACTTTATTCAGAAAACCATCTTACATTCTTCATTCATGATGACTTTTTATCCTGTTTGTAATATGTTTCTGTATTTTTTTTTTTTTTTTAAGTATAAAGCAAGATTATATCAAGACAGTTAGGACATTCCTGGGAAAGAAAAATCATGCTGTAATATTTATACTGTCTGAGCACAAAGCAATGATAAAGTGAAAATATAGTGTACAAATAATTTGTAATATAATAAACATTTTGTATGGCTACAATTACAATATAGTTTTTCAATACTGATTTCAAAGAAGGAAATACTTGTGTTATATAAGTTATAACCTCGTCCAGATATACCCATGCCATTTTTACTGAGAAATAATTAGTAATTTAGCTTTTTCTACTCAATGCCCCAATTTTCTTTAAAGATATGTTAAATGTTTAGGTGAAAGTGCTGTTTACTCTGTACACAAAATGCTGATGTTCTGACCTCTATCTGTCTTCATATTTGTAAATCATCAGTAGGAACAAATGAAACAACATAAAATTCCTTCTTGGAATGTGTGCACTGACCACTTTCAGCTGGAAAACTACTTGTGACATTTATTAGCATCAGTAGGACAGTGACTTTAAAAGGATGGAAAGGGAACTTGTTGGCAGTCATTTCCTGACTTGTTGGCAGTCATTTCTTGGCATATTATCTGTATTGAACCTCCAGCACTCAGTCTAGAAATATGAGTAATATTTATATGTCATAATATAATGGGTAGAACTTGATAGAAGTGCATGCAAACCCTATATATAGAAATGAGGATATTATCTTAAGCAATGATCATTTCTTTTTCAGACTCACTTTGAAAGATGAGACACATAAGAAGCATAAGATCAAAGTGAGAGGCAGGTAGAAAATGCAACACTGTGCTGAGTGGCAGAATTATTTTGTTTAAGGGCTGCTATACACCCAGCTGACCACAGTTCTTGTTACATTTCGAGATGTCTGACTGTTAAAGAATTAATCTCATTTTTAATTTATGGTTTTTTTTTTTAGCCCTGCACTGCCAATGTAAGAGCTGACTGCCAGCTTCTAGAAGTCTGAGGGAGCTTGAAAGCAGCAAGTTTTCTGAGCTGGCAGAAGTCACTCAATTTTTCTGCCCCTGTTCATCCTGTGCACATCACAGCAGCTCCAAACACTGTGTAAAACCAGTTATTGTCCTGGTCTTGCATTTCTTCTACATTAACAAACTCCAGGGGCTTCCCAGCCCTCACTGACATGAAGTGGCAGAGGGATCTTGCATCTCACTCATACCTACTAGAAAATGCTTGTGTTTGGCAGCTTTCCCTTCATGGGTTAATTTTTAACTCCAGGAATGAGTAACAGATTTATTCTTTGTTCATCAAAAACAATTCAAATTTTTTTTGCGTTTTTTTTCCACTTTTAAGGATAAGAGTACTCTTTGAGAATGTTTTTTTTGTTTTGAACTTTTGCCTTTCTCTCAGAAATAAATAATACAGAAACTGAGCTTGTGGAAGTGAGATTAATATATAGGTCAGTAAAGAAATTGCATACTGAATCACTCATTAAAAATCTCTCAAGATGCCCAAGTCATAAAGGCAAAGCTGGTCAATTCTGCAGAATCTCTACTGAGAATAACTGCGTTGCACAAGGTGGTTTAGGTCCTGATTTTAAAAACAGTTGAAATGTCCCCAAATCATATAATATTTTATGCTTTTAAACTCATCTTAAGACCGTATTTTTATGAATATTGTATCATATTCATGTGAATTTATATGTGTGTGTGTGTCAAAAAATATTTTTTCAGAATTTCTTCTATTTGTCCATCAATTTGTCCCCATTCATTTCAGGTTCCTTAAGGGGTACAGAGACAGTAATGAAGAGAAATCTCAGAGTTGTTCTGTTATGAAGCTCATGAAAGATGAGAAATGGGCTTTAAATAGTTAGGTGGTCAAATGTATAGAAGATGTCTTGAAAATAATTACAAATATTATGAAGAGGTGTTTCAGGAATTTGATTTTTTAATTTTTTTATTTTTTTTCCATTTTTAAAAAAGAATTCTTGTCTTAAGAAGTCTGACTTAACGAATTTTTCACACTGGATTCATACCCAAGGAGTAAGTTTTTACTATATTTCATTCTGTAAATAACTTTGCAACTTTATAAAGGCACATTTACCTTACTGGGCAGCAATGGCTGCAAAGGACTGTAAATCACAAGGAAAGGTGATT